TTTAAATATAAATGATACGAACTTACCGGTATTTACCGATAGTGTTAAGGAGATCAACCTTAGTCACAATAGTCTTACCAAATTTCCGACGATGTTACCGTCAAACTTGACGTATCTTGATCTGTGTAACAATGACCTGCATGAGCACGAGATAAACATTTCCAGTCTAACTTTTGGAACTTCGTTATTAATCCTTAAGCTAGATAATAACGAAAATTTGGGAAACGTCTCATTTCTAAAGTCTGTGTTTGATCGATTTATAAATTTGGAAAATCTCTCTGTGAAATATACGCCTAAAGCATGGGGTCAATTCAGTCTACGAAAAGCTTCATTTCCAGAACGTCTTCTTGAAAACCTGGTGAATTTAATTCGACTTGATTTTAATGGATACAACCATGGCTCTGTATCGGACCTCTTCAATGGCTTTGATAATTCTGTTGAGGAGCTTGATCTCTCAGGATATAATGGCACGTGTAGTATGGATGGCATACGAAAAGATATGTTTAAATATTTTGCAAAGGTTCGCTTTATTTCTGTATCATATTGCCGAGTGAAATTTGTGGATTCAGGTGCGTTCGAGTACTTACTCCATCTTAACCATCTCGAAATTTCTAATAACGAAAAATTGACATTGGATGTTCTTAAAAATCTCACTTTCTCTAGCTCATCCTCTATCCGAAAACTTTTTGTAAATAATGTTCAATGCACATTCGGATTGACCACGGCGATAAGAGCAGAACACGTGTCTGCGTGGAGTGAAACAAACCTTGAAGAACTTCACATAGCCTCTAACAGAATCGCCTATCTCGAAAGAAAAGTCCTCAGAAAGATTCCCAAAACACTGAGAATCGTCAACATAGCAGACAATCAACTCACATATGGCTTATATATTTACGAACTCCAAAATTTACAAAATTTGACAACGTTGAACATTAGTTATCAAGTGAACACGCATGCCCCGACAGTATCCAACTTTTTTGAAGAGTGCAACGATAGTAGAACGAGGAGAAATGCCCCATTGCGTACATTAAGATCTCCAAAATTGCGGAACTGGGCAAATCTAACAATCACTTTTTACATGCCACCACGCTTACAGACCATCTATGTTGATAGAACTAGATATTCACTCTCTGTTAGCTCGAGATTCATTTTGGCAAATAATTCTGTCACACATCTATATGCAGGTCGTAACTTGTTTTTTGAAATCCGTTCTCCAATGCTGGGACTGCAAAAAGTGGAACATGTAGATCTTTCTAAAAATGTTGGCGATTATCTTGTGGCTTACTCTTTTCATGATTGTAAGAATTTAAAATTTCTTAATCTATCTTACAATTTTCTTGGGAGATGTCTAGACAATGACACAGAGGGAAATATTTTTTACGGTCTAAATAATTTAGAAACCTTCGATTTGTCATACAATCGAATCTTAAGTCTTTCCATGAAGATGTTTAAAAGTTTCCGAAATATAAAATATTTGAATATCAGTTTCAATAAATTAAGCGAATGGAATGTAGAAATGCAACATATGAAAAATCTGGAATTGCTGGATTTGTCGTACAATGAAATTTCTATATTTAACGATAAAACGATTCATGATCTTAATTCAATTCGCCATTCTAATGCTACACTGATTAATCTTTACAACAATCCATTACGCTGCTCTTGTGAAAGCCTGCAGTTTCTGAAATGGATGAAAAGTTCTATGCATATCCGGTTTATCCACGTGGAGAACTACACTTGTCACTATAGCAACGGAATCACTGGCAGGATCGGTGATATTCATCGGCTGATATTACGAATGGAGAGGGAATGTTCCTCTTATTCAGCCATTATTACGATATGTGTCCTTGCCATTTTTGCTTTTTCCATTCATCTGGTCAGGGGTATACTTTATCGTTATAGATGGAGAATTAGATATATATACTATAATGCCAAAAGAAAGTACAAGTCCAGTGAAAAGAAAGTATTTCCTACCAAATTTCGCTTTGATGCCTTTATTTCCTACGCAGAGGAAGATCGGGATTTATTTGTTGACGACATTTTAAGACTTGAGAAGTCCGAATCTGCCCGGTATTGTCTTCACAGCCGAGACTTCATTCCAGGAACGAACATAGCAGACAACATCATCAACGCCATCCGAAACAGCAGGAAAACGGTCTGCATGCTCTCCATCAACTACCTCCGGTCACGCTGGTTATGTTTGAATTCAATATGGCGCGTATGGAGAGTATTTACTCCACCGTCAGACAGGGTGAGAACGTAATCTTCCTAGTAGTGCTGAATGACAGCGTGGCCGCCCACAAAGACCTGTCGCCGTCCATGATCAGTCTGATGGAGTCCCAGTCTTATCTCAAGTATCCAAAGGACAGGGGGGAGATTCCCGGCTTCTGGGAAAAGTTTTCCATCAAATTACAAGATTTTACAGGAACACTGTAAAATTTTGAATATGTCTTTCAATTTTAATACCCAGAACCTTAAAATTGGTCACTTTTAATTTGGATTTAGTTTTTGCATTAAAAACCTGCTTGTTCAACAATAAGTTAACATAGCAATCAGCCACTATGAACTATATAACATATAATTATATCAATGTACCTATTGATGTATAATGAGTTCAACTCTAAATAATGCCTCCACTTGCCTACTGTCTAAATGTGGTACAATTATATCATCACTTATCACCAAAGAAGTCAATGCTGATGTATATTTTCAAATGCTTAATAAATTTTGGGTTGTGTAAATGCTTATCATTGTAATGCAAGCTTAACATTCAACAGTCTTCAAACAATAACTTTAACCAAAAAAAAAACTTATTACAAGTTATATGACCACCGAGACACAATGTATGAAATATATGGAGAAAACAAACAATATTCAAGCTCAAAAGTCCATTAATCAATACAAATCAGGAGCAGAGCAAACATCGACATCTAAAACATCAGATCAGGTGCCATGGAGGAGTGAACATCCCCTGCCGACCGGTCATACCCGATGTGTGTTCCTAGTTATGATCGGGAAAATAACGGAAAAATCAGTCGACAATTCAGTGTGTAAATAATGGTCTAAAATTACTATGAAAAACGTCAGTCAGCGTTTTACACAGTGATAGATTGTATTTGCGTGACAAGGTTATTGTGTCGACATTAAACTTACAAAATTACAACTTTAAGACTGCTGATATTTTTTTTTTTATCAACTTTTTTCGTCAATAATTTACCTTGTTTTCGACATTGTTCATACGTAGAGCATGCTTTAGCGTATCGAATCAATATAATCATATTGCTGCATTAGGAACGTAGTATCATTTTTGAAGGGGGTATCCAGGGAAAAAATCAACTTCCTTGACAACAGGGAGTAGGGATGGGGTTGGGATGGGTAGGTTATAACTTCTTCAGTACACCCCCAATACTTCGTGCCTGTGAATAACTAAGGGAAGTTAACGATTGAAATGTTATTCTTTACGCTTGGTTGTTATATTACCATTAACGTTATGTATTTTATTGTGTATTTTCAAACCGATTTACTTTATGGGTTTAAAGAATGAAGAATAAATTTATGAATTAATGAGGAAATAGCCCTGTTTGAAGCATCGCCAGAATATTTTAAAGTATGATAATAACAAGGAAATGAACAGTCAAGGGAAAAATATGAAGGACATTATCACATTATACATAGAGAGTATGGAGGAAGTGGACTGAGCATTCCTAATTGAGTGTAAAAAGTAAATAAAGTGGATTTGAAGATAGTTACTTTAGTGCATAAAGTTAAAAAAAGAAGAAGTGAACACACCAATTATCAAGTTAAGGGTTAAAGACACATACCCACATCCATGTTTAGAGTAATTTAGAGAAAGTGGACATGCACACATAAGCGTGTACATGTATAGCATGGAAGAAAAAAAAATGAAAATACTCAAATAAGAGTATGAAACAATGGAAAGAAAGTGAACACGCCCACTTTCGTGTATAAAGCAATAAAGACAAAGTGAACATATCGTTACAGGTGTTTAAACTAATAGAGAGGAAGTAAACGTGCCCAATTGGTACCCATGGGAATTCCAATTAGATTGTTGGAAGACCTGGTCTCTAAAAACCTCCGAGATATTGTCAATCAGAAACTCACGCATCTTTTTGATGTCAACTTCAGAGTACTTGTGTGTACGATCAGAATGTTTTTAACAAAATAATTTTGAAAATGATCAATGACAAGGTAAGTGAATTTACGACTTCCATTTTTATTGAAAAAGCAGCCGTCAATGATATCAAAAAGCCTGGACTTTAATTGATCGTGGGATATGGTTATGCTTACAGTTGAAAAGTCATAAGTTTTTAAGCTGTTGATTTTGGTAAAACCTTGTGATTCAAAATTTTCCAAAATGTCCTTGGAATTTTTAAGTATCCACATATTATTTACATAATTCTCGAATACGATGTATATTTTTGCACAGTACTCTTGAAGTTTCTCCTTCACTGCTGTTAATATTTTAGTGAGGAGTAAAGAAAGAGGCTTGGTTGAACATCTACTCGAGCCCGCTATGTATCTTTGTTTGTAAGGATTTTTATGAAGTTTCGGAATCCAAAATAGATATGGTAGTTCAAATTCATTTTGGTTGTTTGAGATATTAATAATTTTCAAAACTGACATACATATGATTTTGAAGAATTCCTTCCTTTGAAAGGGAACTATGAGTATAAGTTGGATTACCTCTTGTAGAATTAAATCCAAGTTCTTCTAAAATACAATTTATATAATGAGCCTTACAAACAAAGACAATGTTGTTACCTGCTTTGTCAGCAGGGACCAGTAGGTACAGTCTGTTTTGCGAAAACAGTCTAGTTTTTTTGGTGTTTTTAAATGAAATTTTATGGAATATCAATAATAGTATAGAAAGTAATATGAAGGACTGCAACATACACTGAAAGCAATACGGCAACCAGTCTCAACTTAATTTTTATTAAAACGCATATAAATAATGCGTGATGGTGAAATGCTAATTCATCACAAGAATATACAATTTAATTGTCACTCATAATTTGAATATTTCTTCACAGGCCTCTTTATTCCTTCTGCTTTTTGACTTCTTCCCAAACAGTCTGTGTAGCAATGTCCGTGCTCTGACAAATCTCCTTGGGAAGTGCCTGTTTGATTTATTGTACTCGTTTCTATTTATAGACTTAGGGTCCAGCGTGAGTCGTATTTGTCGCACTAAAGCAACAAGGAGTTCATCAATTTTCATTTGAAATGAGACAGAAGTCTCCACATATTTACAGCTGAAAACTTGGGCTGCAGTTTTACCTTCTGAAAAAGAAAGAATAGGACAATTATTATTAAGTTTTAACTGAGAAATTATTGCAAAATTTTCTTATTTATATTAAATTTTATAACTTCTGCATATTAAATCCCATGCCTTGTAAATAAATACAAGACTATATGTTTATGTTGTGATGAAAAATAGGTTGTGCGTAGGGATATTTGTTCAGACGTTTTAGAAAGAATCACTTGTCTCTAACATTGTGAAAAAAATTGATTTCTCGGTAAGAATCAAACATCTGAGATGATGGCAGAGGTGTATGACATTTCTGATAAAACTATGACGTCATTCTGTGCTAACATACCTTTAGTAGACACAACTCTGTTTCGGTTTAGGTCGGTTTTGTTTGCCACCATAATGATGGGACGATCAACATCCAGAGCTTCCCTCAACCGGGAAACTTCGCGGAGGACGTACAGGAACGAGGCTTCGTCAGAGACAGAGTACACCATGATAAAAGCGTCTACATAGACGGTATGCCTGTACGGCTGTAAATAAAAACAGACGTCTTCAGTGCTGAAATTATAAATTAACCACAAAAATGGAATAACTTTCTGTCAAAGATAAGATCATCTCACCTCGTAAAACTGAACCTCCTCCAATTCCACGGTAGATTCTTCTCCGTCTAAGTACACCGGAACCGTGGTGAAATTAGATTTTTCTGTAAGAAAAAAGTATCAGTAGTAGAAATTTATAACTCAGCAGGATAAAAATGAAAAAAAAAATGCAGATTTATCTTTTCTTTAAAAAATATGGTCGCTTACCTGTTGTTTCTTGGAGTCCCACAAACTCCGATGTTGTCATCTGTTTGATCATCATGGTTTTCCCAACCAATTTATCTCCGATGACTTTGATTCTGAAAGTTCCCCCTTTATTGTTGTAGGCTTTACCGATACTGTTACATATAGGTCTAATGAAATCATCGCTGTTTTCATCAATAGTCACGCTGATCGGGTAAAATTGCTGTTCTTTCTTCAGACTTCTTCTCCTCTTGGAATATTTTGTTTTTCCGGGAGACCCCATGAGTTCGGAGCTTTTTCGGAAACTGTCTCCTTTGTTTTTTATTCCAAGATTGGACAGGGAGAAGTTACGGACCCTCTCCACATCCGTGATCAAAGAACCTCTAAAGGAAGGACGTCTGCAAGAAAAGGTAGAGGCCCGGACTCGAACAGGTGGAGGGTTTAACTTCTTAAAATCACAGGCTGCTAAAGTTTTGGCATGCTCACGAAAAGGCTGATAGATTTTCTCAACTGTATTTTGTGAATCGTTTGATTTCATTGTAAGAGAGTTCTTTGAGAGTGGTCAAAGTAATAACCGGGTTCTGCTAGAGAGTAAACGTTTTATATAGACTACATGTTTGGAATGCAAGTGTGATTAATTTACACGCTAGAAATGTCAATCAGTACATCACGTGGTTGTCTTTTTCTGGCATTCCTTACAGTTACAGTGGATACTTTATAAAAGTTCAGTATCGACTAATTTTATTATGGCACTTAAAAATTTTTTTGTATTTTTTTTCATTCCTATATCTGCTATATATTAATGAAGTAAGGCCAAATTAAATATATTCAAACATTTGAACCTTTCTTCAAATAATTGAACCTATTTCAGTTAGTTGAACCTATCTTCAAATGAATGAAAGATTGGATAAAATTGAATTGAAGATAGGTCTAAACGAATTAAAGATAGGTGTAAATAATTATACCTATCTCTAAATAATTAAACCTAGGTTCATGTAAATTACACCTATCTTTAATGGAATGTAAATCAATTCAACTGAAGATAGGTTCAGCTGAATTATACCTATCTTCAATTCTTTTGAAGATAGGTACAATTGAATCGAAGATAGGTACAATTGATTGGAAGATATGTACAATGGAAACATATCTAACAATCTATTCGAATTTTCATGAGTACCAATTGCGCTCCATTATTAGCAGACCCATATGAAGCAGAATTTGTCCCAAATACGTGAAAAGAAGAACACATTTGCTGTGGCCTTCAACTCGATATTTAGACATATCGACGACGTATTGTAAATTAACATGGTTATTTCCATTCTTCACGATTGACCTCATTTTTTTTTTAAAAAATCATCATCTTTGCTGATAACTTCGGAGTGACATATGATAGAACGTTAATATTTTACATAATATGCCATAAATAATGACATCTCACCCACAAAGACACCGAAACAATGCTAGTAATCTTAATGCACATTTAAAAAATCATTTTATATCAGATATTCAATCATGTCAAAAGTGTGGATTTCATACTGAAGATACTGAACATTATTTTATCAACTGCCCATCGTATAATGTTGAAAGAAACATATTGGTAAAAAAATTAAATGATATTGATGTTGTTTTTGAACTCGGCGCTCTACTAAGAGGAAAATCTCAATACTCTTATCAAACAAATTGTAAAATATTTTCATATGTACAAGAATTTATTAAATCTTCTAAAAGACTAAATTAGGGACACTGTTATATCAAATATTCTATTAAATGCATAATTTTTTTTCAAATATTGGTATTATTTTTAAGCTGGAACAGTATGTAAATACATGTGTAATATGCATACAGTTAGGGGGTTGTCATTTCTTTTTAGATATAATATTGATAAATAATACCTGATTGTGAATCTTTATTTTTCATTATAATTTTATTGATTATCATGTTCATGTATTATTTACTACTTATTTGTATCTTGACCAATTATAAAAGGAGAGGGTTTACATAGGCATTGCCTGTTGCCCAATCCTGATTGAATTATACTCAATAAAATATGTTTAAAGTAAAGACACCGAAAGCAGGGACCACAATTCTTTGAATTTGCATGTTGTAAATAGGTTTTGATTACCTTATGTAAATAGGCTTTGAAAGCAATACCAAAGTGCTGGTCATGCTACAAAGTAACTCAGATTTCAAATGTATGACATTTGAAAGAAATTCAAATAAGACCGTATGACCGAATCAGAGAGGTGGTAGAACACCACTGACGTCCGAGGTTATGCGCGAGGTACGAACCATTTGAGGAACTCCGGGTTTTGTATCTTTATCAAATAAAAACTATAAATAATTTAAATCATGTTTTTCCTTTCCTTTTGAATCCCCAAATACCGGCAAAGAATCATTTTCTTTCTTCTCTAATTAACAAAGTTTAAATATGGGAAACCCTTTTCGATCGTGAATTTGAGATCAAGATTAGACTTATATCAACTGCTGGGCATATCTTCTAATCAAAAGCATTTCAACGAATTCGGTATTCAGTGTACATGTACATCGTCATGTAAAACGAATAGTACATGTTTATAATGGAGTTGAAAGACCTTCTGTTCAAAACAACAGATATAGAATCGAAAATTTTAAGGTGTAATATTCTGACGCAGGAAAGTGAGATAAAGTTATTTGGGTGAATGAACACTAGAAAGATGCTTTTTTTAAAAATCCACAACGTGCAAAACAAAATTAATCCCGTGATAAGATACATGTGTATTTCAATATTGCAATAAGCATGCTTTGTTTTCACATTCATGCTCTTCCCTCTATCCAGGGATGCTCTCTCTCTCTCTCTCTCTCTCTCTCTCTCATCTATATTATACCTGACTGGTCGACGTCCAGTGGCTTTTTGTTGCAATGGTTGATTAATTATACTTATGTGCGACCGTAGTTGTCGCGTGTTCGATATTAAGCAATTGCAACTTCTCGGGCCTTTCAGACTCGCGGAAAAACGACCTCGAGGTTGTTTTTCCGACCTCTGACGGAAAGACCCGAGATGATGTGATTGTGATATTAAGACCACGTAATCTGTTAATATAATTAGGAATCTTATCAGTGCGCTTTAGCGCACGCAATGAAATTAAGATTTTATGAGTAAAGCTGAAGTAAGGTATAAATATGTAATCTCCCATGGAAGACTTCCGGAATTCCCAGCATATTTAAATCAAAGTGATCTCGCGAGATCTTCATTCTTCAGAGAGGCTGAGAAAGTAGTAGCTGCTAATTTTTTTTTTTTTCACATCAAATATTATTTCTAAGACATGCATAATACCATACATGTGTAATATTTAATCACAATAATTATCACTTTTTTTTTTTTAATAAAGAACAAATTTATGCATTTACAGATTTAATTCAAATACATGAAATTCAAATGTAAAGTCATTCTCTATGACCAAGAAAAAACAATAACATAATTGTGCTAGAATTAAAGATTAAAGTACAAATATGCATGTGCAAATTTTACAAAGTTAATCAAAAATTCTCCAATGAGACTTATTCAAGTCCTCTTTAAAATCACTACTGGAGACTTCATTCAGAGTTGGTCTGCATGTTTCTCCAAATCTTTTATTTCAGGTTCCTAAAATGAAAAGAAAAGGAAAGATAATTTATATCACTGATGACAAAAATTTTAAGTCTAACAATTAACAATTAATCAGTGTTCAAAAGGAGGGATGGGTGGAGTATTTATGCCACTTCAGCTTTACTCATAAAATCTTAATTTCATTGCGTGCGCTAAAGCGCACTGATAAAATTCCTAATTCGTAAAGCTGAAGTAAGGTATAAATATGTAAGTTCAAAGCAAAATTTTTCTTTTCTTTTTTTTTTTTTTTTTTTTTTTTTTTTTTTTTTTTTTGTTTGTTTGTTTGTTTGTTTGTTTGTTTTCAATTTTATTAATCATCAAGTGTCAATATTTTGTTTGCAAATTCATCATGAGCCTCAACAGGTTTATTGTAGAATCTGTTGAAAGTGCCAGCAGATTTCCAGTTAGCCCTAGACATGACCTGGGCCAAAGAAAGTCCAAATTTTAATGCCTTAGAGGTACAAGCACCTCTGGTTGAATGAGCCTTAAACACATTGGTGTCTATCCCTGCATTCCCAATCATTGTTTTTAACCACCCTGCCAAAGTGCATGGTTTTACCCCTTTATGTGGTTTGGTATAGCTAATGAAAAATTGTTGTTCCCCTCCTCTCCACTGTTCCGTTTTCTTCAAGTATTCTGTGATACAATTGTACACATCAAGTTTGCCCCTATCTAATTTTGGGAAATTCGCTTTTACTGGTTTGTCATTGACTTTTCTTGTTTTGGTTAACTGTGCTATTGTGAATATAATTTCATCACTTTGAATTTCCATATAACCAATATCAAGGACCCGGTATCTGGGTGTCGATATATCGGATAACTTGAACTGGAGCCAGCACATAAGTCGGGTCACAAACAAAGCCAACAGCTCCCTCGGCTTCTTACGCAGAAATATACCGACCAGGAACCAGCAGCTCCGGTCAGCAACATACAAAGCAGTGGTACGTCCACAGCTTGAGTATGCTGCCAGCGTTTGGGACCCCCACTTGGTTACACTTATTAACCAAGTTGAGGCTGTTCAGCGCAGAGCTGCAAGGTGGGTGATGTCGGATTTTAGAAGAACATCAAGTGTCACAGATATGCTACAAACCCTATGTTGGCGAAGCCTGCAACAAAGGAGGGCAGATGCAAGGCTTGTACTTATGTACAAGATCGTACATGGACTAGTAGCCATCCCCTCAGTTCAATTCATCCCCCCAAGTAGGACTACTCGTTCATCTCATTCCCTCACCTTTCGTCAAATACAAACTACAAAAAATGTGTATAAATATTCCTTTTTCCCTCTTACTATAGTTCAGTGGAACAGACTGCCGGGCAGTGTTGTCTCGCTTCAAGATGTTGAACATTTCAAACTGGAAGTGAGCAAACTGAATCACCCCAGACCTTAATCATATTATAGTGTTTTTATATCTTTCAACTGTGAATACTGTTTTTCTTAACTTTTTATCTTCACTAAAAATTTAATACTGTTCCCTTTTCACCGCTTTGAAATTTACTTTTCTATACTTTTTTTTACATCTTTTAATTAGCTGCGCACCCTACTCAGAGTACTCAAAATTTGAGGGCGAGTAGTATCGAGAGATAGAGATTTGTCTTGGAAACAAAAATGTGTGAATTTCTAAAAAAAAAAAAATGCAAAATTTAATTTTGAATTATAGTTTTACTCTCTGACTCTGCTTTTAGCTCCAATGTTGTACCGTTGAAGTCATGTCATGATTGAATTTGCGAAGTTTTCCCCGTTTTTCATTCTCAAGGGGGACCATCTTTGATTTTTTAAATCGGGGTCGTAATGCATAATATTCTTACAGAAGACGTCAAATTTTTACAGGGCAAAATTGAAAATATTGAAATTTGTGTGCTGAAGAATTGAGGTAGCGTAATCGTTTTTCTCTTTTATAATCATATTAAACATTATTTATAAAAATTATCAAAAACAACAAAATTCTTCACCAGGCTTATCAAGTGTCATTTGAAATTGACTTAAATGTTCTTATTCTTTGAGAAAATTCGGAATATATCTTAAAGTTTACACAATGATTTCATTCGACAACGTTACTTTGTGACAAATAATGGGATACTTTTAAATTAATTGATTAGCCCCTCCCTTGAAAAAAAGTTTAATTATTCAGAGTTGATGTTGGTAAATACAATAAGAAGTCTGAAGCATAACCATAGTCACTCCCCATCTTTATAGTAAAAAATATATATATATACATAGATCTACTTTACTATAAGCAAACAAGTATAGTAGATGTAAAAATTTTTTTTAACAGTTGAGATGGGGAGTGCCTATAGTCTGAAGTTGTCAATAACAAAGGGATGTATCAAGTCAACTCATAACCTGACTGACTCGTACAAATCAACTCGTACTCAATGCACCAACTCCTAACCAAAAGTAAAAAGTCTGTTGCTAAGACTCTAGATTTTATCATGTGATATATGCATGGTTAGGGCCGCTGTCATGGTTCATAAATTTTCGGGTCGGGTCAGTTCTAAATCTTTTAGGTTCGGTTTGGGCTTTTCGGTTCGGGTTATAATAGAATAGAAACTCATGATTTGAATTATATTCAACAAGTTTTTTTTTAATCTAAGAAACAGCAACATAATGACTGGTTTAAAGATGTTTCCTAACTAGAAAAATAATTGAACCAAATAGTTCAAATTACATTATTACCGTCTTTAATGGTAATATACTAATGAACCTTTCATTTTAGATGCCATTTTATGGTAAAACCTACTCTACTGTACAAATTTAAACCGAACCGGACTCTGGAAAAACAGAACTGAACCTGACCCGATTTAATTGTTCCTCAGCTCCGGGTCATTTGGAGTACCTGTGACAGCTCTATGCATGATTTAAAATTTTCAATAAATATTCAGACAGTAGTTTCTTTACCCAAATGGATGAAATGAGCTTAACATCTAATTACAAACAGTAAAAATGAGTCTACAAACCTTCCTATGGTTGATTATTATACAACACCATACAATTATTGACATCCTAATTAATTTCTGTGATCAATTTGCAATTAGAAAATGCATTGCTGTATTTATCAAAAATATTGGAGAGCCCATGATTAATTTTTAACTTGAAAATACTGTATTTATCAACTCATTTTTAACTTGAAAATATTCTTTCTCAAAATTTCAGTTTAAAGATATGTTGCTGAACACATCAAGGATTTTAGTGAGAAGGGTATTGGTATCTCCATCATCACATTTGATGCAGAATTGTGTAGGTAATCGAGTGAAGCCAGTTTGTAACTTCAGTGTACTTAACTCTACAAGGCACTATAGTGACAAATCTGATGAAATGATCAAGAAAAACAGAGTACTTTCCCCTAAGGATAAAAAATTGCAGCTTCATTTCCATATTGTCAATGACCCTAATCTAACACCCAGGGAAAAGCATTTAATGATATCAGCTCTGATTGCGAATGTTAAGTTCTGTGATGAAGAATTTGGAAAACTGATCTACGCTGACCCATATGGAAAAGAAGTTTTACAATTCATGAAAACAAGAAAACAAATTCCTATGTTTGGCATTCCTGCATCGTGTGTGATGGCATACTTTCTTCCATATGGTATTTATGCCCAGGCAACTTTAGCTGGGGTTTTGTCAGCCCTCTGTGTTTCAGAATTTTATCGAGTATTGTCAGGCATGAAGAAGAGAATCTTCTTCATTTACTACGAACCACAGCAGAAAATCTACACGGCAATGACATTGGCAGGCCTTCAGGATTTCATGCCCACTCATTTCAGTGAAGAGGAATTTCAGCCTAATAAAGAAGAAGGGGCACACAAAGTTCTACTGCATGGCAAGACATTCTCAGCATATGAAGGGAAGGATGCTTACCTAAATGACAATTTTTATGAAATATTATGGAAAGAAGAAATTGTTGGAAAAAATGTTAAAAATGAAGATAACAGTGATACACAACAGAAAATGTCAGCTGTTAATTGAGGAATAAAATTTTAGAATTTTTAGAAATCATTTGTTATTGTTCAATGCATTACCAGTATGTCTTAGTATTTGAAAAGCTTCACATATTAATGTAAAGTTGAAAAGTATATATAGTTGGATGTGACCAGTCAGCAGGGGATGCTCACTAGTCCTTGACACCTGATCCTACTTCTGATGTTTTAGAGGTCTTTGTTTGCTCTGTTCCTGAATGGTATTGTTTGAATGGACATTTGATCTTGAATACTGTTGGCTAGCTAGATATATTTCATGATAATGTTTAATAAATATTTCAAACTTACAGGAAAGGTTCTTCAGGTAGTGTAGATTTAAATTTATTCAAATGAGGATACATGTAGGTTGTGTTGATTCAAATTTGTTCAAATTAAGACTGCTAGTAATTGGGTATGGTGGGACCACAATAGTTGACCAAAATTAACATGAAATATGATTTATTTGGGTAAAAATTATCAGATGGAAAACTTCTAAAATAGATATGATAAAAACACAATATCAGTGCAAGAGGTCATATTTACTGTACTGCAGTGCCAAAAGAAGCCTATTGACCCCAATATCTGTATGTAATTTTTTATTAAGGAGGCCGGGGGGGGGGGGGATTCAACAAATTAACCATCAGATATGACATATTTTTTTATATATATGATCCCTTAAACTGTCAACTATCATTTGGCAAAAGAAAGTTTCATACTTTTTACTTTTAAAATTTCATCATTTTAGAGCATCTTCATATATGGAGCTCTTCTTCTAAATGAGATGATCCAGACTTTTTTGACATCATAGACAGATGCTGTTTTAATGTAAGAGGAACTCTTATCAATTTACTTACCTTGTCAGTGCTCTTTTGATTTTTTATTCAAATCTTAATGTACTCACAAATACTCCAACGTTGATATTAAAAGAATGCCTGACTTTCTGATTGACAATATCTAGTATGTAATTTTTGGAGATCTCATCTGTAATAAACTGTTGGATTTCCTGTGGGTTTAAACGTGCCCTGTTATTAACAAATATATATTTGTATTTATTTGAATCAATTTATCAAGAAAAATTCTACATGAAAATGGAAAAAGTCAGTGACCTTCAATTCCTCATTTAAATATAAAAAAAACTTTCTATTAATAAACACTACTCATTTTCATTCCAACATTGATCCGATATATCCTTTTGACCTCAGTATAAAAGAGACCACAAAGTCTAACATCCATTTCTTATTTTGACATTTTTCTGTAAAAGGGTGTTAATGATAACCTAAAAAACGCCCACGATATATCTATCACTTTGAACTCGGAATAAAAGACACCAAGAGTCTGTCACCTAATGATAAGCGAAATGGCTTCTGTCGTCAGCTTTCCTCGTTTATCTAGCAATGTATCCTTATCACCTGCAAATGGACTTTATATCCATTAGAGCATGCCCTGTGTTCGAACAATTTTTAAAACGTGGAATGCTATTGGCAAATAAGTTAATAATACCAGGATATCAATATTCTCGTTTAAAGTCAACCTTTTGTAAATTCTATGCTTGATTCAATAGTCTTTTCAGCAAGTTAAATATATTGTCAAATAAATGTCTGATTTTTTTTCATACAAATTGTTGGGCCATTATTTACATACCAAATTGTCTACAGATTCTTCCATTCACGTGGCTAAATGTTAATCAAGATAATTTTATTTTCGGGATGCTAGATCTTTGTGTGTAAATAACTTGCATAAGGGTGTACATATGTCAACCGAATTACTAATCATCATTTACCTTAAATATAAAGAGTTTTAAAATAATCATTTTTGTTACATTAAACATTTCCCCCACATTTTGAACTTCGTTTTTGCGGTAGGCAGCCATGTTGGGTATCTACTGTACCACACCTGGTTAATTCAGTCCGGGGATATTTGACCCTCCGATTTTTTAAGGCCTAACTGGATTTAAAACATTTTTTTTGTTTTGAAATTGGTTTGTTGATGGACCAGTGAATATTTGTGAGGACCGGTGAATTTCACTAAATCACTGGTCCACTTGACCAGTGAATTTTTTTTAATGTCAAAAACTCTGAAGATAGAAATGTTCACCTGAAAACATTATACGCACAAGTATTTTGTTCAGAAAGACTCCAGTCTCATTCATTAAGAGAACCAGTGACATTAGAGATTAGTTTGATGTTTCTTTTCAGAAGTGGTGAAGATGAATTGTATGGAGTCTTCCTGATTTTAGAAATGTTATGATAGGTTATTTAAAGAGCAGTGGGGAAACGATTTTCTTACTTGAATCCTAAAAAGCACCATGAAGCATGAAAAAACTTCTACTTTGATAATTTTTACAACTTCTTATAAGTTGATTTCCATCAGAAAGTCGAAGAAATAAAAGAAACTTTTTATGGTATGAAATAAATGTACATGTATATCCCGTAACCTTTATTTATTTATAAGTGACACAATATAGAATTGTTGATGCGTTTCGTAAAAGGGGGATAACCGCTGAACAGTCACTGTTGAGGAAGGAGGGTAATCCAGTGCAGTCCTGGGGCGTTGGTCAAGGTCACGTACTGGTAGGGAGGCTTAAGGTTGTCATAGGGATTACACCCAGAATTACAAAAGTTTCCAAGACAACAACCTCCACACGACCGACTGGTTTTACAGTCCTGAAAAAAATATTTATCTTTAGATACATTACATGTATAATTGAATATATCATTTTAGAAGAATTTTTGAAACTAAGATGGCGAGATTTAAAAAAGGATTAGTATATAAAGATGTTTTAAGGACAGATGGTACAAACTTTTCCCCCAAAAATCTTAAAAATAACAAATAAATCTTTTTTTACATTACATTTTTAAATCTAATTATACCAATCCATGCATCTTTTTGTTCAGTCTGCATGACTAAAGCCAGACCTTACTATTTAACTTCGAAGTGAAATAGTAGGGTCTGGCTTTAGTCAGACTGCTTTTTGTTTGTTTTGTAGCGTGTGTGCTTAAATATTGTATATAGTACAACTCTCTGTTATCCTTGGACTATCAGTGACGCGTGGTATAATCGAAGTTACATAATTAGCGTCTGAAATTTACACAGTCTTCCATTCACTGTTGAAATACACAATGGATAGAAATTCGGGCGAATGTCAACGAGTGTAGCAAGAACCAATTAAAGCATTTTGTACGGCAAAGAGATGGGGCTTATAAGTCGTCTCATCGTTGTCAACAACAATTTAAAGTTGCTGATGTTATTAATATCTTAACCAATGAGAATCTATTCGCCATTTGAGAGACGCTAGTTACGTAGTGATGAGAATCTATTCGCCATTTGAGAGACGCTAATTGCTTAGCGTCGAGAATGCCACGCTTTACTGAAAGTCCAAGGATGATAGAGAATTGTTCTATTTAAAAAGTTACCGGCAAATTCCTACAACCGGAATGGTAGATAACACCGAGTTTGTGTGGCACTTCTTCAAGGAAACAAACCTGTGTTAAAATTCACATAAATTGATTAAAAAGTTAGATGGCCCACGTATTCTAATTACATCAACTCTGAAAATGGTTTTTAATTAAATAGCTTAGTATTAAAATCTGCCCTGCTCTGATAATAATTTAATTTTCACAAAAGAGAAATGAGTATTCAATAAACTACCTCGTCCTTTTGGCACATGGCAACTTGGGAACAATTTGATGGTGACGTCATATTGGCACAGTTAAAACAAACATGTTGCCCACCTTGTGGGAATCCTATTAATTTATTAAATACAGAGATTTATTTAAAATATGTCCATTCCAAAATAATATACAGGTGAAATGTACATGTTCTCCTTATTTATTTCATCAAACCTCCTTTTCCACAGCCCTCAGAGTTACAAAAGTTGCCATCACAACAAGTTGAGCACGTGACAGTGACGTCATCTGGAGAGCTTCTCTTTTTGTTACTTGCACAGTCCTAGATAGAGCAAATTTCCCTATATCAATGAAATAAGGCAACTATGCTTCTGTACATATTAAAAATAGTAAATAACACATTTATGAATTGGTTTATACATTATGTATACAAATTTTATAATCAGTTTCTATGATATGTAATGCATGTAAAATAATTAGTTTGTACTAGGTCTACCCTTTTGTCTTTGCAGCCTGACCAAAACACATCATCGTTTAAGAAGTCGACCCCTTTCTCGATTGCACATGTCTGAAATTTTAAGGACACTTCTTACAAAGAAACTTTTTTTCATTTCTCATTCTTTAAATGTGAACCATGTTTTAACACTTTTACCACTCAATAAGGAAATAATAATGGTACATAATTAAATGACGTATAATTTTTACCGGGTATTTCTATATTGAATGGTCAAAAGTTTCCATGCCCCCGTAAGCGAAGATTCGGGGTATATAGTTTTTACCCTGTCGTCTGTTTGTCCAAAAAAACTCGCCATTGCCCATAACTTTTGAGTGGATGGGGTTATGGCTTTCATATTTCATAGACGTATTCTTTTTGACAAGACCTTTCTTTTGGTACACCAAATTTGCCCTTGTGACCTTGATCTTGGAGTTTGACCCACTTTTACAAAAACTTACCCAACTTTAATTCTGGCCAAAATTCTTTGCAGTTTTTGGGCTTTATTATTTCAAAGGTGTTTTCTATATGACAAGACTTTCCTTTGGATACCAACAATTTTGAACTTTTGACCTTGACCTCAGAGTTCTACCCACTTTTTAAAAATGTAGCCTTGGCCATAATTTTTGAACAGAAAACACTAGGGCTTTCAATTTTACAGGTGCATTCCTTGTCAAAAGACCTTTCATTGGATACCAAAAATTTTGATCTTGTTCTCAGAGATTGACCTGCATTTGAGAAAATTCAACCCGCGCCTTAAGCTGCTATACGGAGGCATCAGTGTCTCACAAACACATCGTGTTTAACGTATTGAAAAAAGACTAGCATACAAACATTAAATACATATAAGCATGCAAATAATCATAACTTCCTACAAATTACTTGATTGTTCTCTTCTTTGAAACGAAGGGTAAACATTTAATTGATGTTTATTCTTTTCATGACGCATATAGAATTAGCACCAAAGATTTAATATGCCTATTATGACTGTACACCTACTGGAAACAAATATTTTAATCATTTTATACTAAGGAAATGCCAGACTGTACCTCGTGTGGACCGCATGTAACAACGTCAGAACACGTCGTAGGCAGTACTTCTCGATCACATCTGAAGCAAGTGGGTCCAATAACCTAGGGGTTAATGAAAAGAAAATATGATTGATACGTGACGAATGACAAGTCATCGTACTGACTGGCATCATATGAAAAGGAAATCTCAACAATGTAAAGGAATCTGTGAAAAGAGGATAGACGATATACGTGACGAATATAGCATCAATGCAGTCTTGGCAAAAGTCACGACTCTCATCGGAAGGTCAAAGATAGGATTAAAAACTTTTTAAAGTCAACTGTTGAGGAAAAGAACACTTTTTATGGGTTTTTTGTAAAAAAACAAATGGTTTTCAATGTATACTCACTTACTGAAATGGAATCAGTGCACGTCAGAAAAGCAAACCATGCAGTAAGCGCAAAACCTGTCGTAGAACCTTATAAAGGCAAAATAAAGCATCTTGAAATGCAAGTGTTTCAAATAGGTAGACAGGCTTTCTCATATTCAAGGCCAGTGAAATCATTTTATTACCCTTATTACGGAGATATCTCAAGGGTCAAGGTCGCCAGACCATGTTTTAATGTAAACATGAAAAGAAGTCAGATTTGAGTACATGTGTCTCATGATCTTGTTTCAGTGTCATATCTTATAGATCTGAGTAGGAGGAAAATGTGTTCGAAGGAGTAGGAATTCGTCATTTTTGCCTCTAGCTGACCTTGAGATAGCCTCAAAATGTTTTCAAAACAAGTCTTATCTCATTGTGTTACTAGAAAGAAGCGACGGAAAATCACAAATAATGATGGGACTCTTTCCTCTTTCCATAGTGGGATATGTTCGAAATATTTAATCCCCATAGAATTTGAATTTTATACTATAACGCTATAACGATACGCCACTCCAGTCGCTTCAAAGCAGAAATACAAAAGGGAAATACTTTCTAAAACAGTCATATACCGAAGACCAAAGTATTTATATTAATGTTCTTTGAGTTGAAATGTGGAGAAAACTAACAGTATTCAAGCTCCAAAATCCAAGGGAACAATACAATTCGGGGAATAGAGCAAACACGAACCTCTTTATGAAACGTCAGAGGTGTGCAAAAATACATGTAGATGGTGTTAGATCTATAGGATACATGTATTATAATCTTCTTGTACTCTGTTTAATTCATCGAGAGGAGTTTTGGGAAGAATATTTGGATTTTTTATTTGTAGTTTTTGAAATTTGTTTTTACTAATCACAGCTCAACTTTTTACTTATATTTAATTATACTTTTAGCTCACCTGGACCAAGGGCTGATTTAAGTGTGTCGGGTGTCTGTCTGTCGTCTGTAAACACAGGAAGTGCATACGGTCATACTCTGACGAGAAAAATTAATTAAAACGGAAAAAGCTAAGGGAATGTTGTAGCATACTCTAATAAAAAATTCAAATAATTGTTGGAACTGAGTACTACCAATTGTTACAGAACTGTAGCTCTCTGCATAAGAAAATCCAAAACAAAGAAGAAGAAAAAATTACCTGCTTCTAAAATATTGTGCAGAAAATAGTACTCACATTTCATGTCGAGCATTCCACTAAAACATCCCAGCATTTAGTTTGAATACTTATCAGAATTCTGATTCTCGTAACAATATGTTATCAGTCCCTCGGTACATTTAGAAATAAGTAGTGTGATTCGTGCCGTTTATAACAAAGTCTGGTATACGTAGACATCGGATGATATTGTATGTATATTGTAAATATTTGTATATACATTTGGTTAAAAATTAAAATTATATTGAAAAGCTGCACTTGAAGACGGGACTATTTGGTTTGTGTGTCTGTTTATAATAAAACAAATGTTACCTTTGTAAGGAATCCACTAACTATACTTTTTGCACTATCTTTATCCTTGTTATGAAATCCAAAGATCTTATGTCAGGAATTTCAAAGCAGCTTTGTGTAAAAAGCCGAAGCAAAAGCTTCTATAGTATATTTATTTAAATTATTTAAATGATCACTTTTAAGTTTATCATGTCCATCTTCGAACATGATTTCAGATAAAGATTTTTAAAATTTCTATATATTTCCATTTCTTTTGGTTTTCTTTGGGAAAAGTCTTTGAAATTTAGTTGAGTTGATTTCTTGATAATTCTACTGGAATGTAAATTTCACCAAGCGAAAGGTCTGGAGCTAAGGTGGCCTAATATGCGAAGCCAATTCTGCAAATAATCTCACATTTCCAACTATCGTTGATGCCCTGGCGTATCCAATAAACTTTACAGTGATTCCTTAAGTATGTTGTGTGCTGAACATATTACATGTAATCAAAGACCCCCATTTCCTTCGTATATTGCGGATTTCCTCGTACAGAGTGAATTGAAGAACATCTTTGTACGACCGTATTTCACATTTAGAAATAATATCATTGGAAATATTTATCTGATTGTTTGCCAGCAAAATTCCACAAATTGGGGACAAAGTTAAAAATACCTATGTGTCCCGAACTTCCATTATATATAATTGTGTCATTCATGCTCTATCAAGTTATGCACGCCATTTTCTTCTTATCGGTCGTTTTGAATCTTTTTTATATCTTCATTTCCATTTTAATGTGTTTCTTCCCCCCCCCCCCACACATTTCCATGTTTTTTTGCATTTTAATAGCAAATATTTTCTTGAAGATGCATAAATTTAAATGCTGCACACAATATATATTAATAACGAAAATATTATTAAAACCATGTTACGCGCGACTTCTAAGCATATATTAAACAATTGTTGCAGTTTTTTAGGTCAATACGATGATTTAGACACCTGAGGAGTACAATATTCACCGAGTCCGAAGTACTATTGTACTTTTTGCTTTAATTGAAAGTTTTAATGAGAAATTTCAAAAAAAACACATTGTATCAGGAAAAATGGAACAGGAAAAATTCATTAATGTGACCTTCAATAATTCCTTATATTGACCTAGAAGGTCACGTACAGGTCAATATAACGTAGTATTTTTCTAACGTTGTTGGATCTCATCAAATCAGAGAGAGGGAAATTATTCAATCATATAATAAAATATATTATTTATATATAACGCGTTCAAAACAATATACATAATTGAAACATAACATTGTAACCTTTTTATTAACAGAGTGACGTCACATCTGTGTTTTTTATTTATCGACATTTACTACTATATAGGTCTTGATTTTATATAGAAACAGACAGGAAAAAATGTCAAATGTAAATACACTGTTTATTGCATAAATACTTCATATGTATAATACACTAACAAAACTTGATGGATTTCATTGATCAATGCTGAATTTCATGTTGAATGAATGAAATAAAAGAATATAACATGTTGTTGGAATGGATTTCGTTATAAATATAAATTATGCTTGTCTTGATTTGTTTAGAGAAAAATCTCTCACAAGTATAAAGTCAACTTTTCCTCACAATTGAAACATAACAAAGAGGTAAAAAAAAATACATAAAACAAATAAAAGTAAAATCTGTATGAAAAAATAATTTGTAAATGAACCCTACTTTTGAAAAGAAGAGTCCAATACAATTGCACATTGCATACATATTAATTATGATGACGTCCATACACAGTCATATAAATCAGGTACTCCACTTTCTTGGATATGAAATGTGAAATGATAAAATTAATATCAATAATGAAATGGTTTGGCAGGACTTTAGATAAATGTGTTACAACGAAAGTCAAAGACTCTTGCTCAAGACGGCCATGGTTGTCATGACAACCAAAGTAATGGTATTGCTTATCACCATGGAGACACCCTGTGTTCTGCATTTCAACGAGTCGTACCTGAAATAAGTAGAAATTGTCAAGATAAATAAAAATAGTCCAGTTTTTAAAAATATCAGTACTTAACTTTTTTTATGAGAAGCTTAAAGATATACAAGGAAATTTCATAAAACCAATCACGCATTTATAACTAGTACTAAAGTTTGTGTGTTGCTACCCACGGAACGGTTCAACGGAAAGCTTTTAAAATACATAACCTAGAAACGTACGTTAAAAGTATAGTAAATGTATATGTTAAAAGGTATTTTAAAGGTAAAGGTAAAGGTACATCATCTGCCATTAAAAATGATTGTCAATTGCCCTGAATGGAAACCATCTAGGAATCATCGACAGTAAAAAAAATTGAAAACTCAGTAGCTGTCGTCTCAACAAAAAACAATAACTTATACGGCTTAAACAAAGTGTAATTGTAATCTAGTTTAGTGATTTTTATAATTTGGGCCATTGATTCCTTCTGCATTTTCCGTTTCGTGTTTAATGATATGTAAGGTAAATGACTTTGTACTACTCACAGATTAAAGAGGCCAGCCATTTTCCTTTCCGTGTTTAAGAGCCACTGATATGTAAGGTAAATGACTTTGTACTACTCACAGATTAAAGAGGCCAGCCATTGATATGTAAGGTAAATGACTTTGTACTACTCACAGATTAAAGAGGCCAGCCATTGATATGTAAGGTAAATGACTTTGTACTACTCACAGATTAAAGAGGCCAGCCATTTTCTTTTCGTATTCAATGTCTACGAGGGAGCCCTGGAAGAAGTTTCGTCCATCCTTAAAGGGGTACTCGTAACCTTGACGACACGCGCACTTATAGGCGCCCCGAGAGAACTTGTAGCCTGCTATCGGGGAACACTGAAAGAAAAAGTCAAAAAATCATTTCAAATTCCTTTCTCTGTTTTATATAGAGATAATACATGTACGTATGTACACTGAGGGGTTCATTTTTGTGCACCAAGTGAAGCCAATTCTGCAGCATTTTTAAAATGCATTTCATCGACGGTTAAAATGCTCAAATCCTAAATTTGTCTTTATTAAATGACTTAGCTCCACGCCCAGTGAAGAGCTCTTCAGACTTGTTTGATGGCCATTGTAGTCAAGTAATATTGCCACTATTACAATGATCCAATAAAAGATGCTAGACCACTTACACGGTCCAACAAAATAAAATAAACCATGTCCAGAAACTAGATCTGCCGAGTCCGAGCTTTCTCTGGCAATGAGGAAAATTTGATGTCATGCTAAAAATGTCTCCATTAGTGATTATACAATGACCACTGGTCAACACGGAATTCCAACAAGGCGTTGTGAAATGAGAGAATTAAAATAGAATAAGGAATCGACTTAATACCCAACCTGACTATATAGATATGTCTACTAGTATATAGATATGAGTATCATAATAAAATCTATATAGGAATATTGAAATATTTTTTTTAAAAACATATTTAATCATATTTAATATCAAGTTCATAATTATATGCTAAGTACTTATTAATTGAAATTACTATTTCTGGACCATCTTCAATACTTAGGGTACAGGTTTGGCAGTCTGGCTGTGTAGATACATCCCTTTGTATTCAAGCAAGTTATATATCTTGCCAAGGAGCATTAATAATTTTTAAAATCTCATTTGAAAGGGGATTCAAAGGAATCTGTGATTTCTTGTTGAGGGTTCAGAAATAATTTTTAATGTCAGTGGTACTAATTTTCAGCATTAAGGTAGCATGGTACTCACTGTTTGGGACGGGTAGTGACACCTAGCGGTGTTTTTAAAGGCGTTTTGGATGCTGAATCCTTGATAACATTGGTTAATCTCTAGTTCTTGTAATGGCACATCAACGGTTACCACTCCTCTGCAGAAAAAAACATAACATCATACACTCAAAATGAATTTATAAATTATACGAGAGAAATTTAATTTTTAGTTTTACGGATTTTTTTTTTCAAAAAATTGATGACTTACTTAAATTGCAGTTTGGTCCTGAGACGATCCCTACCAATGATAGGAACAGCATACGTCATAATCCAGGCATCCACACGACCGTCACACCGGAAGTAAGGTTGTGTCCAGATTCCATGCGTGACACTTGGGGCAAAGTACCCCATTGGATAGTACTCAAAGTTCACAGAGCTTGTACCGTTAATGTCAGATCGCACCTGCAAATCATTACCAGGAAATGAAAGAAAATTTTAATTAAGGACTTTTAAAAAAAATTAGTTAATTTACACTTAACGTATTAAAAATAAATTACCGGGAAACGATCGGAAAAATCCTTTGTTGAAAGTGCTTCTAAAAAATTATTACTTAATTTGAAAAAAGAATCGTGTATTTGTATACTGATACTTCTATCCACAATTCGATATACCTTTGCTTTCATCCTATACTTCAGAACTCCTCCTGTATTAGTCTGCCAGCGCTGTCGGATTCTAACATACCAGTCTTCATCAGTATACCTGGTCTTAAATCCTGCCGTGTCGATGGCGTACACACTTTTGTCTCGAGTCCAAGCAAAAGGACCAAAGAACTCCCTTGTCTTTCCGTCCCAGTCCTCGAACACGTGGGGCTCGAAGTAAATCCCGCTGGAGAGCACCTTGTGGTCCCCCATCACGTTAGCTAGCACTTCACCAAACAACAGTTCGTGGTGAATCCGGTTGCCTCCTTTCAAATAACCAAAGTTTTCACCAGGAATGACGTTCTGGTACCAATTACTGAGGAGGTGAGAAATTCTTAGAGCAAAACGGGCCTGGGTGTCGAACTGGGTGTCCGCCCCGTATCCTACATCCCCGGGAAGTAGCATAGCGCGATTGGAGAAAGTTTTGCAGTTTTCTCTGTTTATTTTCTTTATTGTTGTGAAAATACTCTGCATTCTATCAAAATTCATTTGGTCAAATTGAGCTTCTCGCCTCCTCCTCTTCTTCTTTTTCTTCTTCAGGGGTTCTTCTCTCGTGCTGAATTTCTGGTCAATGTAATCTTTCCTGGCAGCTTCCCGTTTTACAGTGTGTGGCTGGTTGGTTCTTTTTACTGCTTCTCTCCGGACTGGTCCATAGACACGGCTAGCGTTAACGGACTTGAGCTGGCGTCCGGAGAAACGATCCGTCAGGAATATATCGGATCCGGAATCTCCTTCAACGTTGACGTTAATAGCACTTGTGTCAACAACGGGAAGCACGCGGAGATCTTGAAAAGAAGAAAAAGATGTCTGAATACTACGATGCTAAAAAATACAATCCGTCTAAAAAGAAACTCAATATTCTCAATCCATTGATTGATCGATACAAAATTAGTATATAATTTTACACAGGCAGTGCTATTTTGTTTGAAATCACTTACATCCAGTTGGGCGACACTTGTATCCCACGGTCTTTTCGAACTCTGTGGCCTTCTCAATATCACCCCCTTTCCATGGCGGTCCTACCCTGGGAGGATAGCTGTGGCCTGAGTTACAGATACAGGTGTATCCTCCTCGTTTAAAGCCCTTACCAGACACATGCTTACACTGAAATATAATGGAGATCACAAGTGAGTAGTTGAGACCATTGAAATGCTTTTGGAACTTGACAAGAAGCTCCAATCATAACTTTCAACAAATATAATGTTTAATTCAGACAAGCATAAATTATAGTAAAACGTACGAGATTTTACCTCAGAGGAAGAAGCCTAAAAATAAATATTGAGACTTTCTTTTTATGCCCGGAAGATCCCGGTGGTATATTGTTTTTGTTCTGTCTGTCTGTCTGTTTGCCTCTCTGTCTGTTGTCAACTTTAACCTAGCCCATAACTATTGGTGGTGTCAACGGTAAGTGTATACCACTTCAGTCTACGCCCCTCTCCAGAACTGCGTTACCATGGGGGGCATAGTGTTTCACAAACACATCTTTCCCCCATGTTATTCCTCTCTGAGAACAAAATATATCACTTCTACTTCATTTGTTTTATCGTTGTCCGACTTTGGATAGTACACAGTAGATTTATAGGCCAGTGTTTTCCTTAAACTCAATTTTGTTAAATATGTTCAAATATCAGGTCTCTACTGCAAATAGATCAAAACGTGTCACAGCTTATTACCGGTATTATAAAAATCCGTGATTATAGAAATTGAGGAGATATATTTTTTTTCGGTGAACTTCAGAGGATATGAGTAAAAAGATTCCATGGCCATTTTGAACTACCTTAAAAAATTACATGTACCAATTTCACTGAAACGACCTACGTACATGGTTAAGGTTTCACACATGACGTACGTGTGCGGTTTGGGTTCTATATATGACCTAACCTATGTGGTTTGTGTTTTACACACGACCTACCTGTGTTGTTTTGGTTTTGCATTTGCTGACTCCGGACAAGAAACTTGGACCTGGGTTTCCAATACTGACTGGACAAGCATTAAAGTCTATCTTCAAAAAGTCGATGTCTATAACTGCCACGCCCACAAATCTGTTATAATGAAATTAAAAGAATTCGAGTTTGATGCTTGAATGATTATAAGGCTTAGTGATACTCTGATAAGATCGGATGATATAACTATTAAACCGTATTAATCCTTTACTACTTTAAAAAAAAATCTTATATTTCATTTCATTGTGAAATAAAATTGTAGATTTAGACTTTAAAAATGTAGAATTTAAATTGTACTCCCATGATAATTTCAAGGTTTCGCCCAACGTCAAACACAAAGGCAGCCGCACGAGATTTACATGCATATTTGGCCTCCTTAGCGTCAGACACAGAGACAGATGTGCACGAGATTTGCATGCATATTAGGCCTCCTTAGCTCCTGGCCTATATCGACCTGCCTAATTTACATTCCGGCAGAATTATCAAGAAATCAACGCCGCTAACTTTCAAAGAGTTATCACAGAGAAAAAAATTAGAAATGGAAATATATAACTATTAAACCGTATTAATCCTTTACTACTTTAAAAAAAAATCTTTTCTACTTTTTGTAACTCAGAGGTTTCTGGAGTTTCTCATTGACATCATTTTTGTAGTCTTGGAAGCTCAAGATTTCCAACAAACTGTTGCAATGCCAATGGGCACTAATTGTGCCCCTGTATTGCCTACACTGTTTTATACATTTATACAAAGCAGAATTTATTCAAAACTTCTTCATGATAAAAAAAATCTTGACTTTGCTTTCAACTTGACATTCAGATATATCGACGATTTTTTTCCCAATTAATAATACTACATGTACACTATATGTCGACTCGATATATTCCTGTGAGCTTGAAATTAAAGACACCAATGATTTTCTTACACCTGTTTCATGTGTTTTCCCGACTTTAAACGATTATGTTCACTAACAAGTAACAACTAAAGTGTACGACAAACGAAATAACCTCAGTTTTCTTCGTCAGCTTTCCTTATCAATGTCGTGAATGTCCATTCCCTTCCCTTCTTGCATGTGTAAACTGACGTCTCCAACCTATTCGGGTCGATGGTCTGAGTACGAAAGGTTTTTAACTAAAGCTGCTACTGACAAACAAGTTGATGTTACAGGGATTTCAAATGCATTTGCAAGATTTTATGGTCGTTACATGTATAAGACCTTGTCTGCAAATACAACCTATGTAACCAATTTTTTGTCTTATGTTGATTGACATATTTCATATCAATTGTTAGGAAAATGTTAATTTGTAAACTAATTCTTCTGTTTACTTGATCAATAGATATACGTGTATGACGGCGGATGTAACTAACCAACATGGGACGTTTACTCCTCTTAGACATCTGATCCCATTTCTGGAATTTAAAGGTGTCTGTGTTTTGTGTCCTACTCACAATGTTGAGGTATATCTGTTATCGTTATCACCGTCCTCTTTATTATAAAATTATCACGTAAAAAGACGATTTCTCTCAAAATATGTTAATTTATATGTGTTTTAATTGCAAAGTATGTTACTTCGAAAAATTAAAAGCTTTAAAGTAAATAAAATTTTTATGCTTGACTAGAGGGAAGATACAACTTAAACGACATATCTTTGTTTATAAGACAACAAGTACTAAATTTATTATATCAAGGAATGTGATGAATAAAAAACACTCTAATACCTTGGTCTCCTTAAGTGAGTCCAGTTGGAATATCTCGGCATAAAGTCTACGATGGGAGACACTGCGCTCACAATCCACTTGTTGGACATCTTGCAATCGTAGTACGTATCGGTAAAACGGACAGGCATGTACTTATCGTCTGTATCTCCAATACCAGGGGAGTTAGGACCAAAAAATGGCGTAGCTTGGAACTCGTCATGTAACCAACGACCAGTACCGTTGGCATATTTCACATTAACTGAGTACGTGAATTTTTGAACAGAATCCATTGAGGGGTCATTATCTGGCAGCCAGAAGTTAAACCAGGGCGCCATTTTGTAGCCCTTGTGTGAATAATTACCAATAGCACCAATGTCTTGCACCAATGTAGTTCTTCCTGTCGGCTCACGAAGAATGACTCCCATGTCGAACGTGTCGTCAAATCTAAACGAGCGAACACCAAACAACGGGAGGGTTTTATTGAAGTCAAAGTTTGTCATCCAGTTTGGATAATAGGTATGATTGTCAAACATTAAAGCTGAAGCATTGAATATCCCCTTGTTGGCATTAGTGTCGGCTGTCACAGAGACATAATTGTAAAACCAACCCGGCTGATACTCAAAATCTGTCTGAGATTTATTCAGTTTCTGAAATATATAACTATAGAAGAAAGCCCTGTTTAACGCCATGTTGTGCATATGAACAAGAGCAGTCCTATTTTTGTACCAGATTTTGTTCAGTAGTTGGTTGGCGCGGGGTATCTGGGACACCGAGGCTTTAGGGAGGGTCATGGCCTGCTGTGTCTTGGCTTTACAGTCCGAGGCTTTCTGTATGGTGGTCATCAATCCGTTTATTTTACCGTAATTGTCACCTGGAACCCAATCGAACACACTCTTGTCACAGAGCGTGACGGTTGCCATGACGACCACGACAACGTACAATATCCGCTCGAGCCTCTGCTCCATGGTTGGAGTAACTCGCTTCTTCTGAAGAGAAAAACAAAAACTGTTTTAAGGGTGATTATTAAATTAACATTTCAACAATCAATCTTAACAAAAATTGAAATGAAAACATTCTATTGAGTTGATATATGGTGTATTCGTGTAGATGCAGTATACATATCAGAATTCACGGTGTTATAGACCTTTATAGCTAGTAGTCACGATAAGAGTTATACGATGGCTGTTCAATAAATAATTTCCTGAACTGTATGACATACAATACAGATATCATAAGACATTAAACTTGACTTTCTCTCATTATTGAATCTTTAATGAATTTATAACAGTTTATGTAACCACTTTTCATCACAGTTTCATCGTGAGAAGCTGGGAAACAAGGGTTATTCGAGAAACTGCATTATAAATAAATGGTAAAGAATCAGTAAACTAGAGTGAAAATAAAAGCTTCATTAAAGCTGCTGTAAAACTTGTTAAAAATCCCAAAGAAATATTCACTGAAATATGTGACATTTACAGCAATCAATGCCTGTTTTATAGACAAATGAGCAGGTGGATTTCAATGATAAAAAATTACATAATGGGCATCAAAATGGGTACCGTCCTTGCCAACAAAAATTATAACAACTTATGTACTGTTTGCCAAATTTCAACAAATAATATTTGATGATGTATGATTGACTTTAAGACACAGAGCAAATTTGATAGACATCATATCGGGAGTAGTTTACACTGTTTTTATGAAACGTTTGACGGTAAAATAGCTTGGTACTCAAAGGTCACCTTATATTTTGAAAAATGAGTGAAAACGACAGCGTGTACGAATGTCTTAACAATTATTTTAAAATATCAGTAATTGTAGTTATCCACGTTTTTTTGATATTCAAACAGATAATGGAACATTAATCTATTGCTTAAAACCCTCAAAACAAAATTTACCATAAGCTGTACTTGATAATAACAGCGAAAGTCTGACAAGAGCAAAGATATGCAAGAGCACAAAGACAGATTTATATGCAATTTTCTTAAATATTAGTGGCATTGTTGTTCAAATTCGTATTCGGGTAGACAGTTTAATTTCTGAAGGAGTCTATAAAGCAATTTTTTGAAAAAAAAATCGAGAGGTTTATTAGAGGAAGGACCCAGAATCAGGAATCCACTACATTAAATTTCTTCATTCATAACAGCGTCAAAACCCGCACGCCCTGAAGAGTAAAGGGGTTTTCGGGATAAACAGAAAGTTAATGTTTTTTCACATTAACAATATTCGCCAGATCTTTGACCTTTTGACTTGATTCTATTTCCAAGCTTGAAAAAACACCTTTCAGAAAGAAGAAACAAGTCCAGGAAATCATTGGATCTGCCATTTTCCAGTATACTAAGGGTCATACCCAAAAATGAGTTCTAAAAACAATCAGAAATTGGATAAAAACTGTTACGGACATGTGTTTTAATTAAAAGAGATTAATAAGTAAAATCATGAAGACTAAATCATTGAAAAGCGTCTTTTGCTTCTTTCCGAGCACCGAGGACATTATTTATTGAACAGCCCTCGTATATGTTGAATCTACTTCAAAATACATTTTGTAATAAGTTCATTTTTTTAATAATTACCAGTAAATCCATAAAAACAATATCTTTATGATTAGCAACCTATTTCGTGAATTTTTTAATATATTCCAGTAACATGCATTGAAATTCTAGCAGTCGTAAAGCTGGATATTCCTGAGTAAAATTTTCATTGTTAAGCAGTTATAATAGACCATTTTCAGGCAAAACTGCAAATCTACTCCAAAAAAGAAGACCAAAAGAATTTATATTACATGTAACATTCTGGAAATTCGACAAATTGTTAAAATGATTTTGATAAAGAGTACATCTCAGACTATCTATGGGAACGTCTCGGACCCCACTATGATTGAACAATTTCTCATTCCAAAAACCTGCATGGGTATGTTTCGGGACCTAACTGTAAAATGTTTCATTCCTATAACCTCCATATGGATACGTTTTGGGTGATATTGTAATCGTGTTCTCTAAAACCCTACATATGGATGTGTTTCGGGGCCATTTGTTATTCTCATTCTAAAACCTGCATTCAGATATGTTTCGGGTTATTGTATTTGTTCAGTTTCTTGATCGTGGTTATGATTTATCTTTCCTCGGTCTTTCATTTGGAAAACCTTTGTATGGTTATATTCAGTATGCTAATTTTTTGAATTTTCTCCTCCGGTTTCAGTTTAATGTTCTCGGGTGTCTGAATTTTATGAATTTTGCAGCGACTGAAAACTCTTCACAAAGCTTTTTTGAATTTCACTAAACGACTTTAGTAAAACGTAATACACATCCCATAGAATCATTTCAGGTTCCCTTTTTTCTACTAAGGAACAAACTTAGCAATGTGACATTCACGCTTCGGTTCATTTATATACAGAATGTTTCCCCTTTAAAACTGGGATTTCTACGTGACTCAGATGAGTATACATATATCGTAGTAAGTGCGTTTTGAGTCTTGTGACTAATATAAAATTTACCTATTCGAGTTTTTCCAAATAATGATTTGTAACATCTGGGTACACCAACAATGGAATGTACATATTTTATAAGTTTCGATTATATATTGTTTTCTTGTGATATATTACTAATTTAGATATATACTAGCGTTTATAGTTTAACGTTATTGAATTTTATCTACTCTTCTTGCATAAAAACTTATCATAACGCCAAAAGAAAGTATATAATGGTACCATCATCGGTACTTATAGCGTAAATGTTGATTTCAAGCTTTATAAATTATCTGATAATAAAAAAACAGAGACACTGAGTCATATTTTGAGCGGATTTGACATTCCTGATTGAGCGATTTTAGATCTATTATGAACTTGCGCTGGGTGCTTAAAACGTAAAATATTTTTTCATGATATCAAAAACGAGGAAAATGCCAAGAAAAAAAAATAAAGAACTATATGCGGTATATTGCATATATTTGCCCCCACAAAAGTCAAATTTTGAAAACTTCCTGAAATGTGCTGAATTCAATAAATTGTATGAGAAATATAAATTAACAGAAAATATTATAGTGTCAAAGCAGTGTATCCACAATTTTTGTTTTTATGACGTCACAAAAGTCCGATTTTATATCCATTTTGACAAAATTTCAACAATTATAGCAAAAACGAGGAAATTTCATTGATATTATCATTCTACACATTATTTCAAAATATTGATCCTGAACACACAACTTTTAATCAAAATATCGACGAAATATGTACATTTTTCTGTAAAATTCATAAAAAACTGAAAATTACGTCATGTTTGTGACGGCATTACGTACATATGGCGTCATTACTTATGAAAATATTCAGTGCTTTGAAGTCAGCATATACTCCACTGTTTAAGAACTTAATTAAATATATCTCCATCAAAGTTTGATTTGGGGGGGGGGGCAAATATTGGTTATTACCGAATAAAGTTCTTTTAAAAAATCGTTTCAGCGCAAAGTAATGCCAGAAAATCTTTGTCAATTTCTTTGAAAGGTGAGAAACTATAACAATATTTCGTCACTTTTCTTTTGTTGCATACCTAATTATTCAAGATCACGTCTACACCTCATTGGTATTCTATCCCCCTCCCCCTTCTTTCCATTTACTGTTAAAACTGTACAGTATATGTGCAAATCGTACTAATATTAGCAACAGGTTAGACACTAAATCTATGTATTTGTTATGCCTATTTACACATGTATTTCAGTGACACAATGTAACATAACTAAATACTAAGTGACAATGTTATATTACTAAATACTAAGTAAAAGTTAATACTAGTTAAAATCTGTTTACTATTTTGAAAGGTTTATATACGTGTCATATCCGAGAACATCTACCAGGCAATGGACCTTTATTTATATATGTTTGTATGAAAGGAGAGATAACGTGAATCTTTCAGCTTTTACTTAACTTTTATCTGTATTTCTTAATCATTATGTTAAATATGCAAAATATATTTTTTTATTGTTCACATAAACATTTAAATATTTTTTACTATAAGAGAATCTTCAAAATTTTTAAGAATTTATGCGTAAATTCTTGAAAGTATTTGATATATACATTTTTTTCGACTTCAATTCTTATATTTTTTTTAATTAAAATGTAGCATAAAATCAGGATAGATAGGGGTACGGGGCAGAAGTACATGTACGTCATTATGGGGAACACTACCTTAAGTAGAACCAAGGTCTAGAGTGTTAAGATGCGGGAATAGGTCAATTTCATTTCAAGAAAAGGGAGGGTTATATACTAAATTTAATTCTAATTTTTCGATTAAAAATCATTGATATGCTGTCTTCAAACAATACTTTTTATATATTTATGTATGGTTGGAGACTTGAAAGGATTTATAGGGAATTCATGTTTTTTATTCAATTTAACAAATAAACTTTAATATTCATTTCATTTCTAACTCAAATTGACCATAACGGGATATTTAAAAAAACAAAACAATATCTTCAATGTGTATATCTAATTTGTAGTTGTAAAATTCGCTCGAGGCAAAAATGGGCCAGATGCGCTCGAATTTTTTCGCGCGCATTTCCGGAGGCGGCCTTCATTGAGTCGAGGTGACACGAAGACGCTGTGATAATATCAGGAGTTTATTTTACTACATACATTCCATACTATCTACCTCTGATAAAGTACAAAAAACATCAAATTGGGTTTTCACATCTTTTCTAAATCTTTGTTTGGATTTTTTAAAAGAAATATTTCATTGATCTTTTAGTATATAGTTTTTAGTTTAGTTAAATGACTGGAAAAAGCCGAAAATTGCAAATATAGTTATTATTGTTAAACTCATGAGGTACACTAATTTCAGTATCTACAAGCATATTTACAGTTTATTTTATTGGTTTTTTTTATTATTATATGTTTTCGGTAGTATAATATTATTTTTAAATAAAATTTTATCTGAATTTGGACTTCTATATATTTTGTTACAAATCATGCCAATGAACATATTTTTCTTTTTAAATACTTCCTTTTCACTTTATAGTTTATTTAAGGGAAGTATTAATTTTTTTAGGTGATGATATTTACTTGTTTACTTTGTTTTGTTGACCCACGCTGACTACCGACCCATTGTATTAGATCACGCTACCCCAGGCTATTGAATATTTCATAAGAATGCAACTATTGATCTCCGCGGAGAGTAAACTTTGTAAAGCTTTAATTGACACTCTTTCAGTCTTTATTGTTCCAAACTGACCAGGGAGTGACCCTCGTCATGGTCGACCTCGCCTCAGTGGCCATTTTAAACTTAATCCTGTGTGTATAATGACCTTATATAATACATATATATGTAGCTGGGTTTGAAGAAAAGTTTTTTTTTTTTAAATATTCTACATAATTCCCCCCCCCCCTTTTTCTGTTTGTATAGTAAAGTTTGTTCATTATTGAGCACCCTATGTTATTAAAGATGAGTAAGATAGTTTTTAAAAATTCCATTAACCCATATAATTTTCTCAGTCAAAAAATAAATTCTCGGTGTATAGAAGACTATTCAATCAAATAAATAAAACAGTTATTAATACAACTTCTGACAATATTTGAATTCTGATCGTCACGAAAGGCTCTTTTCTTAACGGAAGACCTTCTGTCTCCATCAAAAAGAAAATCCAAAATGTGTCGAGCAAAATTGCTTAATGTGCAAAATTTAGATAGGAAAACTTTTTTTGGGAAGAAATAGGGTGTTAAATGTACGGGTTATTTAGATGTTCTGCAGGTAATGCATTCAATCTTATACATGGCTTTGGTGCATGATCAAGTGATTGGGAACCGTATACAGAACTTATTGCGCATAAATTAAAGCATTCATCCGCAACAAGTTCTTACTTAACTAAAATAATCACAACTTTAATTAAATTTTTGATATAAGAATTATTTTTCTCTGTAGTACTTTAATTGTTTAAAAGTAAAAATATATACAACTTTTTATTAATCACAAAAGACACATTTAATTTTTAACCTCATAAAGAGAACATCTGACAGTTCCTAGTTTCTTTTAACTTCATAATGAGAACATCTGACTCAGTTAGTAGTTTCTTTTAGAGCCCTCTCCTTAGAAGGGGTTTGAAGTGACTCGATTCCGACGGTAGTGAAATTAACTCCTGTTTGAATCCAAATATAGCAGTTTACGGAAAATTTAGTTCTCTATATATTGATTATTTTCTCAACCTTGCTTACATTCTATATTGACCATACTGTCCAGTTTCTTAGATATTCTCATTACAATTCACTTAATGTCTGTACAGAATTATTTTATTCACTTAATATGAAAATAATTCACTGAAACAAAGATTAAATAATAATCAAATACTTACCAACGTTCTTAATGAATCACATTCATTTCCCTAAAACAATATATTCTCAAAAATAAATCCAGGAATTTAAAATCACAACTTAATGACCATTTCCTGAATTTTGAGTTGTCCAGTCCAAATTGAAGCGGTATGGTTTAAATTTCTCCGTGATGAAGAATGTTGGGTATAGGAGCTGTCTGTGTACCGGTGGCCTTGCGATCTACCCGTCACGCTCTGTTTGAGATTTACAAAAGCCAAGGACTGTTGTAACAATATACTTAAAATTCTACCAGACAATCGCTATTTAAAAATTAAAACTCCACGCTTAGGATAGATTTCAGGATTAATGGAGGGGTGAAATAGTCAGCTGATATCAAAATTTTAACATTTATACCGGATTTCATTTTGAATTGACATCCGAGAATTCAGAATTTTATATGTCTGGCACTTGCTTGAGAAAACAGTGTTAATTAGTGAAATCAATCACTTAGAATTAATTGTAACAGATAATTACCCGTATCCATAGAGTGAATTAGGTTTGACAGAATTTGATCACCAATCACAATTATGACAAATATTTTTTTGGAGATTGTGCAAGGTCATGCTTCAGAAAGATTTCAATCTTTTTCTTTTTTACGCAGTACGTATCTTACTCATCACACATTTGTAAAAGTTAAACTTTGTACACCCTCGGGATCTTAAACCGTTTGATTCAGTCATTTAAATCCAAATATTTCTAAATCATTTAAATTCAATTTGATTTGTATATCATTTAAACAGGAAATTCAAAAAATAAGAGTAAATAAAAATTCAAAAAATAAGAGTAAATAAAAAAGAATAGTTTTGGAATTACAAAAAAAAATGGATTTTAAAATTTTAAAAGATCCCAGTAAAGGATAGAAACACTTAAACACTTCCGAGACACCTCGTATCTCTCAGATGTAAACTAACGGCTTTCTTTGTATTATACAGGATGAGAAATATAAATATAATGGGGATCCCCATCCCCCACCCCCCAAAAACATTGTGGTATGGATACCACGCACTAAAAATTTTAATGTGATAGGAAAATGGGTTGTAACACACAGGTATACGACCAAGACCTTGGTCGAAAAAAAAACAACACTTTGCTCAAAAGGCTATATGTGCATATCTACAATTTTTACAGGCAAATTCCACCAGCGAAAAACATTAAAATTCTTTAATGTGATATAAAATTAAGATACATAAAACAGGTGACTTTTAAAAGATAAAGAGCAATCGAATGTTTTTAATTTGCCAGTTCATGTGTCCTAGCTGCTAGGCGTAAAATTATCGTTTTAATTAAAATCTTCTTGCTGTAACAGTAAAAATACATTGGGATTGTTATTAAAGAGTTGGATTAAAGTTATACGTTTGTTGTAATGGATAGTGATCACTATAATAACAGGAACTCATTGTGTATGAGAAAGTTCCCTCTTACCCATCAATTAGCTGCAGGACTGTAGCTTTATGGTTTTTAGCTCACCTGAGCCGAAGGCTAAAGTGAGCTTTTCTGATCAAAATTTGTTTGTTATAGACATCTGTAGTCGTTGTTGTCGTTGTAAACTTTTCTCATTTTCATCTTTTTCTCAAGAACCACTGGGCCAATCTCAACCAAACTTGCCACAAAGTATCCTTGGGTGAAGGGGATTCAAGTTTGTTCAAATAAATAGCCACATTATCTTCCAAGGGAAGATAATTATGAATTAGTGAAAAATAAATGGCATCTTTTAAAAATCTTCTTCTCAAAAACCATTGTGCAAGAAAATATGAAAATCACGTGGAAGCATCTTCAGGTAGTGCAGATTCAAATTTGTTCAAATCATGACTCCCAGGGGATAGGCGGGGCCACAATGGCTGATCCAAGTTTTACATAGGAATATATAGGGAAAATCTTTAAAAATCTTCTTCTCAAGAACAGCAAAGCCATGATTGGTGATATTTATATGGAAGCATCCTCAGATGATGTAGATTCAAATTTGTTCAAATCATGACTCCCAAAGATAGGGTTTGGCCACAATAGAATAAGATGATCAAAGTTTAACATAAGAGTATATAAGTAAAATCTGGAAAAAATCTACTCTCGAGAAGAGTGAAGCCATTATTGGTCATATTTATATGGAAGCATCTGCAGGTGGTGTAGATTCAAGTTTGTACAAATTATGACCTCCGGGGATAGGGTGAATTCACTATTTTGGACGATCAAAGTTTTACATAGGAATATATATGAAAAATCTTCTTCTCAAGAACATCAATGCCATGGTTGGTCATATCTATATGGAAGCATCCTTAGGTGATTTAGATTCAAGTTTGTTTAAAACAAGACCCCCTGGGTTGGAATGGGGCCATAATGGACGATCAAAGTTTAACATAGGAATAAATAGGGGGAAAAAATCTTTAAAAATCTTCTTCTTAAGAACAGCAAAGTAATGATTGGTCAAATTTATGTGAAAGTATCCTCATGTGGTGTAGATTCAAATCATGACTCTTGGGGGGGGGGGGGGAATCACTAGAATTTAGAAATAAAAGGTCCACATCGGTGTTACATTAAGGGAATAAATTTCACTATACATGTATGTCTATTGTATATATAATTCATTGTTCTCTTTTGTTTTTTTTTTAATGATGTATTTATAATAAGATATTGTAGATTCAAGTTTGCTCAAAATCATGACCCCCTGGGTAGGTTGGGGCCACAATGGACGATCAAAATTTAACATAGAAACACATAGGAATGTTCTTCTTCTCAAGAACAACAAAGCCATGGTTTGTCATATTTATTTTGAAGCATCCTCAGATAGTGTAGATTCAAGTTTGTTCAAATTGTACCCCCTCCCCTTTACCGCTTCTGCCTTTTAGGGGTAAGTCGGGACAACTCATGCATTTAAGCTTTTTAATACTAATCTGAATTTGCTTTTTTCCTAGCCACAGTACTCAGGTGAGCAATGTGGCCACTGGACCTCTTATTTATATATCAGTCTTTGACCATAACGTATCACGTAGAGGCAGAAAAAAGAAGAATATATTTAATTTAGATCTACATGAAAGCATCCGGAATAATGGGTTTTTTTTTTTTGGATTCTAAGGAAAATATATTAAAATATTTTAAAAATTATCTGGAGAACAGCATGATAAGTGATTTTATATGGAACTAACTGAAGCATCCTCCGGTGATTAAGATTCATGTTTGTTCAAATCATGACCTCTGGGATTAGGGTGTGGCGACAATGAGGAATCAAAGTTTTACATAAGAATATATAGGAAAAAATCTTCAGAACAGAAAGTTATGTTTAATCTAATAAATTGACATGTCAGCATCCGAATGTAGTGAAGATTCAATTTTTTCCCAAACATGACTGGGAGGGAGGGGGGACAATGGGGGATCTTTTTTTCCAAAGTAATATGTAAGAAAAAATCTTGAATTTTTTTTTTACAAAGTCATATGTAAGATTAGCTGCAGATCTGTAGCGTTATGGTTTTTATATATTTGTCTTTGACCATGGTCAAAGACAAATATATAAAACCATAACTACAGATCTGCAGCTAATGTAAGATAAAATCTTTTTTTTAGTAGTATAAAATTCAAGTACCCCCCCCCCCTTCCCTTCAGTAAACGTTTCAATACCGAGCTGATTTGCGTTTTTGTCTAGCCCATTTGCTCAATTAAGGTACTCCAATCCCCAGGTTCTGAAAATCAGTCAATGACCAATTGAAAATGCTCACAACAATGTCTCTTGAGTTCTCAGAGTAACATGTTTTTACCCACAATAATTCTTCAAACTTCATCTTTAAAGTTATCATATTATATAAGGAAAATAATCAAATTTCAAATAAATTTTCAGGAAATGTGAATTGAAACACACACTATAAAAAAATCATAGGTATCCAGGCTTTTGAAGAAGGTACTTTAATTCCTTCTATTTACATAGATCATTTTACAGTGCTTACTGTATAAAGATTTTCCAATCATTGCAAAACACCATAATTCACTTCTAATTTCATATCATGTTAATAAACATTAGTGTCAGTGTTTCGATGAAAATGAACCTCATATTCTTTAAACATGTACTTTTAAAATACTTTTTTTAAAACCATTCCGAGAACTACAAAGAACCTTGAAGCACAATGAGAAGTATAAAATGAAAATTGTTGCATGAAAAGATTTGATTTTCAAGCTTCATTTTGAGACTCTTTGAATTAGATAATTAATTAAAGAGTTATCCTTCCTGGCTGAAGATTGAAGTACCTTAAGTGATGTGGCCCATGGGCCTCTTGTTTTACAGGCTGATCCGGCTTTATTAATGACAAAATATAATATATGAATTCTGATTTTATCTCCTTTTGAATGTCAGCATATTTTGTGTTTTGATTTCTCATCTTATTTAAAACCATACACTAAAAATAACACATGACAATTTTTTTTTTTTTGGAATACATGTATAAATCTCCTTACTTCAGATATAATTGTCCTGATTTAGTTTTATCAGTAAAATTGTTTTCTGGCCTATTTTCAAGCTACCAAATATATATTATTATTCCTGAAACATCCTTTAGTGTTATTCATTCTACAAGTTCTGAACTTATTCAGCTGTTCAATTTGTGTGTCATTTTTTTTTTTATACTCTGTAACAATTGGAACATCACCTGACTTTGAAACAACTTGAAGGAAATGTCCTTTGCTACAGCACACCTTGAAAACGTTTGTCAACGTTTATGAGAAGAAGCTAAAAATGTTCAAAAGATTACAAATGACCGACAATGATAATGAATAATCAGATGACCTTAATCATTTTAATAAAGGAAATGTGAAAACAAACTATACATAACAGGCACATGGACTATAAACCTTTTCTGATCAGAAAAGTGAAGCCTCTTACTCAGGTGAGCTAAATATGTATTCAGTAATTGAATTATAAGAAAAAAAAAGAACTTTCTAAATGTACTAAAATGTACACATAATATTTAAAATCTAGATCTTTTAATAATAAAAAAAAATTTACTTCATCCAACAAATAATAACACAATTTTCTTATTAGCAGTCAATAACAATAAATTATATTTCATTAATTTGTTAACTGGATCATGTTGATTCTAGCTGTACAAAATGGTAAGTAACTTCACTCCCGTCTTCCTGTAGTTTGGTTAGACTGATGGGTTGTAGACTGTCCCCCGTTGTCGGTATTAACACTTCTCTCTGTGCGTGTGGTACGCCCACGGTTTTAGATCCATCCACCTGGATCTGGAAGGACTGTAGCGTGGAGAGGACATCCGAGTCTACCACCTCCGTGATCGGTACCTCAGTTACATCTGACAGCCCACCAACCAGCATTTTAGAGGCCTGGTGAAGCAATTTTGCATGCTCAGAATCTGCAGTTTTTGCCATTCCTTTTGATTTTTTCTTTGAATCTTCCCCCTGTCCATGTTGTTTTTTCAAGTGTTCTTTAAGCTTATCAAAGCGCGTTGTGGTGAAAGTACACTGGTCACATTTATAGGGTCGTTCGTTCGTGTGTAGCAGCATGTGTCGCTTCATGTTTTTAATGAGGGAGAACGATTGCCCACACACTTCACACTGGTGGGCTTTCTCACGTGTGTGCGTCACCATGTGGTACTTCAAGTTCTGCTTCCTTGTGGCCTGGAAATTACATTCAGGACATTTATAAGTGTCCCCTGTGTGAACCAGTCTGTGAGCTTTCAGCTGACTCTTATGAGCAGTAGCAAACCCACATACATCACATAGATGTTCTTTTGTGGTACTGTGGGTCACCATATGATTTTTCAGTGCATGCTTCCATTTGAATCCAGCATTACATATTTTGCAAACAAATGGTTTCAGTTTGGAATGTTTAGGGTAGTGGAAGTTTAACTGAGTTTTAGTCCTGAATCTATGATCACAATACTTGCAGAAGAAGGGCAGGGGATCATCATGTCTTTTCATGTGGTTTTCAAAGTTTTCTTTTGTATCACCATTGTATTCACAAAGATCACAGTGATAGTTTTCATGCAGGTGCTCTTTCTTATGGACATGCATACTCTTTGCCTTTTCTGATGTATATCCACAAGTGTCACACGTGTACTTCTTCTTGGGCCGTTCATGGGCCTGGGTATGTTGCTGATGATTATAAAGAGACATTGTAGAGAAGGGACAGAATGCACATTTATATTTGTCACGCTTTCTGACAAACCCTAATCCAGCCAGAGAATCTTCCTTAGAGTTAGTGAAGTATTTCATCTTAACTGTAAGTTTTCTTTTCCTGCCACTCCTGGAAGAGAATTCAGTTATATTAACTTCATCTTCAGCAATGGTATCCTTCACACTTTTATCATCAGAATGTCCAACATCAGCAGGTTCAGTGTCACTTTTCTTTTCCTCTACAAACATTTCTTCCTCATGATTGTCTTCAATCTGAGTTATCTTTCTTGGTCTGCCTCTTCTTCTTTTAGGACCAAACATTTCATCTTCGTCTTCTGTTTGAGTTATCTTTCTTGGTCTTCCTCTTTTTCTTTTAGAATAATGAAATGATTTTGAATTTTCACCTTCATCCTTCTGAGAATTTGCAAAAAGAGGGGAACTCTTAGTTGATATTTCAGATTCAGGTATTCTTTCACTTTGTGGCATTGCCTCAATATTTTCACCATTAACCATTGTATTTTCATGAATGTCATCATCCTTACTTTCTTCATTGATAAACCATTCACAAAAGGAACTTAACTTATGTAAACACATTATTTTTGATAGTTGTGCTATGTGGTTGATGATGGTTGAAGAGACAGCTATTTGGCCTGTGTACAAGTAATCAATAACGATCTTAATAGCCTCACTGTAATTATCCTCATTACTCTCTCCATCGATGTGAATTTCTATCATCTGTGGCGTGTTTTGAGAAAATGCTCGCGGGTCATCTTCCCCTTGTCCGAGGAACGTATGAAAATATGGACTAGCTGCCGCTAAAACATTGGAATGCACAAGTACACTGGTACCATAGACCTTGAGAATAACATCACAAAACTTACTACTTTGTCTTTGTTCATTTAACCTCTGCATAATGTTCGAAACATGAGTATTGTCAACGAATTTTGATTTTTTCACCTTCGACGCCGCCATTTTGGTATGCTCCCCGTACACAACGTTTATTTTTCACCTCATTCTGAAAATAAACCAATGAACATGAGCAAATTGTATCTCTGAAAAATCATTGATGAAATTCCTAAGAGATATATTCATAGAAAAACACTGAATGATTAGAAACAATTCCCTTTTTGCTTACAATATAATTTTGAAAGAATGCTTGCTCCCGAGACAGGCAATAGTTGCACAGCCGCATTCAATATAACTGATATTTGTGCTGTGCGCCAACTTCTACGGCATCTCGTCTGCGCAACTATATAATCAAATCTTTCTTTCTTTCTTATTTAGTTATTCATTCATTCATTCATTCATTCATTCACAGTGGCGTAGCATCGTTTTTGAAAGTGGGGGGGCCAGCCAGAGAAAAATTGTTTTTTTACTTACCTGAAAAACTTGACAAGCAAAAAAAAAAAAAAAAAAAAGAGAAGAGTTGCCCAAAGTCGAAAATCCTATTTCGTGGGGGGGGGGGGGGGGGGGGGGTTAGGTTAACTTTTTCTCAGTGTCAACTACTTATAGTACTAATTCTAATATTATACATTTTCGGTACAACACTAAAAGTGGTTTTCAATTAACATTTCCTATAGTATAAGTAAGGTTGGGAAAAAAAAGTGGGGCCCCCCTGGCCCCCCCGGTTGCTACGCCCCTGATTCATTCATTCATTCATTCATTCATTCATTCATTCATTCATTCATTCATTCATTTATTTATTTATTTATTTATTTATTTATTTATTTATTTATTTATTTATTTGCATTTCGTAAGTTCTATGGTAGATACATGACCTTGTTAGCGAATACAATTTATCATTGAGTCAAATGCTGACTGACTTTTTTCATACTAATTGATAGTCCATTACTTATACACTAAATTGACGACGTTGTTTCCCGATCATGACAAGGAGCGCGCGGCGGATGTGACGGTTGGCAGAGGATGCTCACTCCTCCAGGCACCTGATCCTTCCTCTGATGTTTTGGAGGTCAGTGTTTGCTTTGCTCCTATTTTGTGTAGTTTTATGGACTGTTGATATTGAATACTTTTTGTTATTTCGATCCATGATTCATGCAATTATTTTCTTTTCTTTTGTCTATACAAACAGGTCATGGTACAGTATAAAACACACCCGCCCCTTTAGAAAATCTAGCTCTGAGTGGGATCAGGTGCCCAGGTGAAGTAAGCATCTCTGTCAGTTGGACACGCCCGCTTTGAGTCCCAATTATTAATCAGATAGAAGGAATAATTTGTGGTCAAATTTGGTATGTAAAATAAAGGCCTAAAATGACATTACGAAATTCGATGTCGATCAACCCGTAGCGTTGTGGTTAGAATATTTCCTCGAGAGTCGCGGAGTACACTGTTCAAAAAATCGATATGTATATAACAGTGAAGAATACCCTGAATAATATACAGGTAAAATAGTTTTGTCATATATGTATCTTTTCAAGATTGATACGATTCATTCGAAAATATTGCATTTTTAATTTATTTATATCGTACATAAAACTTAGATATATATACAAGAAGTATTTTGGTGTTGTTGTTGCATGTTAAATTGATTCTTGATAATCAGAATATACACCTACTGGCTATTGAAGTAAAGGAACAGTATTCAGAATTTGACAGAAAATTTAATTATTAAGTTTTTATCACAAAAGTTAGTTGCCCCCTTTTTTTAATCCAGTTCATCTCCGCAAAGTGAAATACTTGCCGACCCTCTGGGTTTGCAGAATTTTCTTCAGCGCTCAACAATTCTGCCGTCTATTCCATTAGCTATCCCCGAACTGCAAAAATATCAAATGATACCATAATCCAGACTCATAGTTCCCTTTCTAAGGAAGAAATTTTTCAAAATCGTATGTCAGTTTTGAATATTTTTAATATCCAGAAGAACCAAAATGAATTTGAACTACCGTATACTAGTATGTATATTGAATTCTGAAACTTTATAAGAATCCTTACAAACAAAGATACATTGCAGATTCCAGTAAATGTTCAACCAAGTCTCTTTCTTTACTCCTCACTAAGATATTGACAGTAGTGAAGGAAAAACTTCAAGAGAACTGTGCAATAATATATTCAAGAAGTGATGTGAATCAGACGTGGATACTCAAAAATTCCAAAGAACATTTGGACAATTTGAAATCACAAGATTTTACCAAAATCAACAGATTAAAAACTTACGGCTTTTCAGATTTATACACAACCATTCCCCACGATAAATTAAGGTCCCGGCTTTTTGTTGTCGTTTACAGCTGCTTTTTCAATAAAAATGGAACTCTTTTTACTTACCTGGTTATTGGTCATTTGCAAAATTATTTTGTTTAAACACATTCTGACTGCGCACACAAGTACTCTGAAGTTGACATCAAAAAGATGCTTGAATTTCTGATTGACAATATCTATGTGGTTTTTGGAGACCAGGTCTTCCAACAATCTGTTGGAATTCCCATGGGTACCAATGCGCTCCGTTATTAGCAGACATATTTTTGTATTCATATGAAGCTGTGCAAAATCTTATGCGTGAAAAGAAGAAAAAACTTGCTGTGGCCTTCAACTCAACATTTAGATATATCGACGACGTATTGTCAATTTTATCAATGGTAATTTCCATTCCTATGTCCATACGACATATCCTGGTAAGCTTGAGATAAAAGATACCACAGAGTCTGACACATCTGTTTCATATTTAAATATTTTACTTGAAAAAGACGTTAATGGTAATCTAACAACCAAGCTCAGTGACTTTAACTTTCCTATCATCAACTTCCCTTACTTATGCAGAAATATACTTTCATCACCAGCATACGGAGTTTATATATCTCAGTTTATTCGATACGCAAGAGCATGAACAATTTCTAAAACGAGGTAAATTATTGACAAACAAGTTGATGAAACAAGAATATCAGCAGTCTCGTTTAAAGTCACCATTACGTAAGATCTATGGTCGATACAATGACATTGTCAGCAAATACAATTTATCATTGAGTCAAATGCTGACTGACATTTTTCATACTGGTTGTTAGTCCATTATTTATACACTGAATTGACGACGGATTTTTTTTTATTTCCCTTATGATCATGACAAAGAACACACGCAATTTTTGATTTCGGGTGTGACCGGTTATGGCAGGGGATGCTCACGTAAAATTCCTCCATGGCACCATGATTTTCCCACCTTTGATGTTTTGGAGGCCTGTGTCTGCTCTGCTCCTATTTTGTATTTTTTTATGGACTTTGATATTGAATACTGTTCGTTATCTCCATATCATTCATTCATGCAATATGTTTCATCACCACATACGGAGTTTATATATCTCAGATATCAAGCAAAGGTCTACGTAGAACCCTATATGCACAAGTTGATTAACAATTTGATTCGTAAAGTACCACACCAGGATCTATGTTTTAAAACTCAGCAAATACAATTTATCAGAGTCAAATGAGTGCACAACATTTTGCATATATATATATACACTCAAAGTTTTGTGATTTCATAATCATGACATTGAACACAGGCGGGTGCAAATTGAGGATCTCACTCCTAAAAAGCTGCACCTTTGATGTTTTGCTGATTTGATGGTGCTATTTATAATGTGTTTTAATGATATGGAAAACAATTTTTTATACAAGTACCGAAACAAGTGCCTGCTGTGAACAACGGTTCACAGACACTCCCCCACTCCCCCATATCTGACAAGCAAACAAAAAAACCGTAAACTGACCAAAAACTGGAGGATAACTTTAACCTGACTTGGGTAAAAAAAGAAATGTTAAAAGCAGTCTGACTAGGCCTTTCGCTTAGAAAGACAGTGGAATAAAAAAGGACAAAAATAGGACACGGACCTAACACTCCCTTTGAAAATGAAAGTAGAAAATCGTCAGTTGTGAAACAACTAGAGGTACTGTGAGCAATGAGTTCAAATCATGACCCCCCGAAATATATAGGAAAAATCTTTGAAAATCTTCTCCTCAAGAACCACTGGGCAAGTGAAGCTGAAACTTATGTAAAAGCATGGGGTATGTAGATTCAAATTGTTAAAATAGGAGGTGCACAGGGGAATCAAAGTTTTATATAGAAATATATAGGAAAAATCTTTGAAAATCTTCCTCAAGAACCACTGGGCCAGAAGAGGAAAGTTATGTGAAAGCATCCTGGTATAGTGTAGATTCTGAATTGTTCACATCATGACCCCCGGGAGAAGGGCGGGGCCACAAAGGGGAATCAAAGTTTTACATAGAAATATATAGGAAAAATCTTTGAAAATCTTCTTCTCAAGAACCACTGGGCCAGAAAAGCTGAAACTTATGTGGAGGCATCCTGGTGTAGTGTATTTCTAAATTGTTTTTGTAGTAGAAAATGGGGAATCAAAGTTTTATATAGAAATATATTGGAAAAATCTTTGAAAATCTTCTTAACAAGAACCACTGGGCCGGAAAAAGTGAAGCTTATGTTTAAGCATTTTGGTGTAGTGTAAATTCTAAATTGTAGGAATCATGACCCCCGGGGGAAAAGCGGGGCCATTATAGGGAATCAAAGTTTTACATAGAAATATGTAGGAAAAATCTTTGAAAATCTTCTTCTCAAGAACCACTGGGCCGGAAAAAGTGAAGCTTATGTGGAAGCATTTTGGTGTAGTGTAAATTCTAAATTGTAGGAATCATGACCCCCGGGGGAAGGGCGGGGCCATTATAGGGAATCAAAGTTTTACATAGAAATATATAGGAAAAATTAGGAAAAATCTTTAAAAATCTTCTTCTCGGGAACCACTGGGCCAAAAAAGCTGAAACACATGTGCCCATCCATGGAAGGATCATGGGGTAGTGTAGATTTCAAAATGTTCATAATTATGATCAGTGGGGTAGGGTGGGGATGCATTATGTATAACAAGGGGGAAATCTGGTAAAAACAGATTTGGTCAAAGCAGCAAGGTTTTTGAGTATTTTGAAAATGGGCCTCTTGTTATCATGAATTATTGATAGTTACCCACAAATATCAAAATCCCGATATCAAGTTCAAAGGTCTCAGACCATATATGCACAAGATCGCTTAACAATTTGATTCGGATACCACACCAGGATCGATGTTTTAAAACTGCAAAGCCTGATTTAAGAGTCAGAGTGCATATATATATATACATCCTCAAAGTTTTGTGATTTCATAATCCTGGCATTGTGAGGATGGAGTGCAAATTGAGTATCTTCGTAAAAAGCTGCATTCGAGTCGTTGCTAGATTTGATGGTGCTATGTATAATGTGTAATGATATGGAAAACAATTTTTTATACAAGTACCGAAACAAGTGCCTGCTGTGAACAACGGTTCACAGACACTCCCCCACTCCCCCATATCTGACAAGCAAACAAAAAAACCGTAAACTGACCAAAAACTGGAGGATAACTTAACCTGACAAGGGAAAAAAAGAAATGCTAAGCAGTCTGACTAGGCCTTTCGCTTAGAAAGACAGTGGAATAAAAGAGGGACGAATTGACATGGACCTAACACTCCTTTTGAAAATGAAAGTAGAAAATCGTCAGTTGTGAAACAATAACAATGCTGTGAAGCATCAAGATGAAGAATGAGTTTTATACGAGACAGTCGTATCAGTCAGAGTCTGAAACAGGTTCTGGATACCGTAGAGGATGTACAGGAGCATTACCTGGCGGCGGAAGACGAGGAATTTGACAGCTTCCAGGAAAACCTGACGCTTAAAATAGAGAACCAGGAAGTCTCAAAACCAAGTATGAAGTTATATAAAAGATAAACCAATGAAACGCTTACCAAGTATTTAATAGCAGATTCAGATATGTATGGGATCTTTGTGTTGTATCCCAATAGTTTGGCACCAACTGGACTTCTTTTTTTTAAATGTTATTTTTTTCACAGTCGAGTTTGCTTAAGTTACTTTTGACATTAAATATATATCTTAATATCTTGATCTCTTATTATTCTGATGGAAATCAAGAATTAGATTGCAAGCAAAAACTTGTATGTATGTAGGTTATTAATTTTATTTTAGAATATTCTTTTTTTTTTTCATTTGATATGTAAATTTTATTTAAAATATATTTTGTTAGCAAATACATGCTGTATTTCACAGTCACGATTATAGTTTAAATTCTATCTTAATTCTTTTCATTTTTCTAAAAATGTAAATGAAATATCTTAATTCACATCTCCCAACTGAATGTAAACTCACAATAAATGGGCCCAATAAACTCCTTCTGCATGTGTATGTTTTTGTTCCCTTGTTAATGACAGGAAAGTTTTAATTACATTCTTTTTTAATTACCATTTATGATGTAAAAAAAAACAACATAGAAACTATCAAAGTTCAAGTATCAATTTCCTGCATATATATTGTTGTATAATAAAGTCATGGTATCAAATCACACAGCAGGAAGGATACTTGTATATCTAAAATCTATTGTAATGTCAATCTATGGAACGCCAAATTAATATATATTCAAATATTTGTACCTATCTTCAAATAATTGCATCTATCTTCAATTAATTGCAGCTATCTGCAAATGAATTGAAGATAGGTACAATTGAATTAAAGATAGGTACAAAATGACCTTCGTTCCGCACATCTACATAACATACCTAGTGACCCTAAAAAGGTTTCACCTAGATCAAATGAATTATACCTATCTTTAATGGAATTACTTCTATCTTGGATTCAAAAAAGATAGCCGTTGAATTAAACTCTGATTCATTTGAAAAAAATTGATTTAAAGATAGGTTCAATTAAGACATATCCACAAAGGATTTGAAGATAGGTAAAATTAAGTTATACCTAGGTTCAATTCATTTTATGTTGTTGGTAAATAATGAATGCTCCCTTGGAGACAATATTGAGTATGGACGGAAATGCACAGAACCTACAGAGAGACGACAACAAGGATGAAAGGGGAAATAAAGGTTACTATAGTAATACAAAATGTGCAAAAAGCATCATATACTTATAAAAATACACATGTATATCATGTAGGTATATCTTGTGAAGATTCTGATAAACTTTCGCGCCAGCTGTGATGTATCGGAAATGACTTATGATAAAGGGAGTAGTTGTTATTGCCAATAACTTAGTAATTAAAGATAGGTTCAATTCAATTGTACCTATCTTTAAATAAATTATACCTGTCTTCAATTCATTGCATTTTTACCTATCTTCAAAGTAATTGTACCTATCTTCAAATGAATTAAAGATAGGTATAATTGAATTGTACCTATCTCTAATTCATTTGAAGATAGGTACAATTGATTTAAAGATAGGTACAATTCATTTGAAGATAGGTACAATTCAATTAAAGATAGGTACAATTATTTGAAGATAGGTACAAATGTTTGAATATATATTAATTTGGCATTCCATATCAATCAGGACACTTATGAATACGTTATATGTTGATATTTTTATCAGGGAGGAAAATCTAACACAAGACTGGATACAGTTCTTTGAAATTTGTTTTTAAAGGTAGATTTTAATTGCATAATGAAGATTTTAGTTGATTATAGTTTTTAGTTGACAGTAAATTTACTTGCAGAGGATGACAGGAAATCAGCAGTTATATCTATCAGTGGAGACAACCCCGGAACAAGAGCTGTGATATTTGAAGTTATAAAAGCAGAGAAAGTGAGCGAGGGGAGATCTTCCTTTGTGGTAAAGTACATTGTCACTACAGTACATAACATGGTAGGTGGGTTCACCATATCTGTCAGTGTGACCTATTAGTAGCAGGATGCTTATTTAGGAGCTAACATGCTGTGTAATTTGCACTTTTCATAATAGACATCAAGATATGACCTTATATAATTACATGTATTATGATTTTCATCATGAAATGCACTAGTTCTTGATGTTCCTAAGCACTTCATAACTTACTGGAAAGTAATTAAGCCAAAATTTGAGTGCATGTGTTTAACGAAAGTGAACATTTAGCTCCTGTTATTAAAGGTCCTTTCACCTTGTGATGATATGTGTAGATAAAGGTAGGGTTTCGATAAGGCTATTTTTTGGCCCATGATGAATTTCAAATTAATTCCTTTAGTATCCAGTAATGTTTCCTCTGTCATATTTTATAATTTATTTGCAAAACCAACCTATACTAGTCACATGACCAAGGGGTATCTAAAGGGTCCCTCTAAAAGCGTGTAAGAGGGTTATGAAGATGTATTACTTGAAGAAGACTATTCATTGTGAAAAACCAAAGAAAGATGAACCATATATCATCAGGGAACATGGAACAGGGCTGGAGTAACACAAAAAGTTAACTAATTTAATGTTTTTTGGAAAAAGAACTGTAATTGTAGCCATAAATATTCAATGAAAATTGTGTACGCTTTCTTATTAGACACCTTTGCTACCTATAATAACATAAAAAAAAGGTATAAAAAACAATCAGTTATAAAAAAAAAAAAAGCTTTCAATATTAAAATATATCATATATTGAGAAAAATCATTAAAAATATAACTTGCCCGCGACCCATACATATTCTTACAAGTATAAAGTAGAAAAAAAGACCTCTACGCATTATAAGTAAGTACATCGATTTAATAGCATTTCGTTTAAATTGACACATAGGAAGTGTAAAATCTCATATCAATAAATTGTTTTGCAATACTAAAAATATTTTTTGCGATAAAAAAGAACTGATTCTGTAAGTGTATACTGTACACAGGCATTAAACATAATTTACATGTACTTATTTTATTTTATTTATAGATATTGGATGCAAGATCTGAGATGTGTCTTTTATCAAAATTCATTTTATATACATTCATTTGAATTCTAAAGATAAATCCTTTGATTCCATGCCTGTACCCATTTTCGTGTGAAACGTATCTTAAATTTTTTTCTAAATGTTTTTGTAATACCATGTACATGTGCCCCTTTGAACTTGCACAAATGACCTTGGATCAAGGTGTAAAGTATTAATTCCTATGTTCCCCCATAAAAAACATATGAAGGACACATTTGCACAGACAGATGGACGATGGTTTGCACAGACAGATTTAAATTTTTAAAACCTTCTGATGAACAAGTGAATTTTTTAAATTTCTTTTTTCCCGCTTAAAAAAATGGATAAGCAATAATAGCTAAGTTTTCAGATAAATCTTTTACACACATGTATTTCCTCCTGTCTTTCAGAGGTACACTTTATCAGTCAGCACAGAAGGTGAGCCTGAAAAGACTCCAGGTATTATAGAGAAGAGGTATTCAGATTTCAGTGACCTCAATACAAAACTAAAGAAATGCTTCCATAAAGATATGGAGCTCATATCATTTCCTGGAAAATTAGTGATGGGAAATTTCACAGACGAAACCATAGCTCAAAGGAGCCGAGCCTTTGAGCAGTTTCTGACACACATATTTACAATTGATTCACTTCGGTTTTCTGATGAGTTGAAAAATTTTCTTTATCAAGAAAGAATGCAGGAAGGACTGGAAAGCATACATAGAGGAAATTTTTCTCACTGTGTAGCTGTGATGGAGAAATACCTCCCTGTGCAAGAGAGAGTTATGGGGGATCAGCATAGCGATGTGGTGTGCACGCTCTGTGTCCTGTCTGTCTGTCACCAAAAGCTAGGAGACCGAGAGGCGGCACTTGAATATGCTGAGTCAGCACTTTCTTGTATTAATGACGACCAGACTAGTCCGTTCCTTGTTCCTCTGCTGGACCACACTATCTACCTTTGTTGGGTGCTCTGTCGGGAAAAGAGCCACCTAGAGGCCAGACTGGGTGGACTCAGAGACAAGGGAGCTAAATCTGAGGAGCTTCTGACAGTCATATTGAACTACACCAAGTTTGATTCTGTGTGGTATGAGGATAAGTAATGATTCTTCTCAAACTGTAAATAGTTTCAGTATGGAGATGTGCAGCATTTAAAAATTGAAAAATTACGAGGAAATTCATAATTATACAACTTTATTTTGTGACTAAGGAAACTTTCTACATAAATACAAAGATAAATACGTCTAGAAAGAAATATTCATAAGAAAATGAGGACCATGACTCATGAAACTTGCAAATATTTCTCACAGTATATTGTAGCATAATATATGCTAGATAAACCTAACAATCAGATCTGTTTTATTAACTGTGTCACTCTAAAATGAAGTGAAGGAGGGGGACAGGTTATTGTGCCAAGGCATTATATTGATGCTTGTAGCCTTATTTTGGCAGGATTGTTTGTTTTTTTTATTTCTTTATACATTGTTTTAATTTGACATGTTGCATAATATTTATACTAACATAATATACATAATATTTATACTAACTGGTATATTCAAGAGCTAATTTTTTAGTGTGAAAATAATATAAAAAGACAAAAATAAACATATAAAAAGTTGAATTTTCTTTTCCTCTTTTTATAAATAAGAATAAAATTGATAAGCCAAGCCATAATAACTTTGTATCTAATTTCCCCTCAAAAATATTGGTATTGTGTGAGTGAATGGTGGCAGAAAAGGCTGGGTTATGAATTTCATATTTCACAGGTGTACGAGGGCTGTTCAATGAATAATGTCCTGAACTGTATGACATACAGTACAGTTATCATATTACATTAAGCTTGACTTTCTCTCATTATTGAATCTTTAATGAATTTATAACAGTTGATGTGACCACAGTTCAGGACATAGTTTCGTTGTGAGAAGCTGGTAAACAAGGGCTATTCGAGACGCTGCATTATAAATGAATGGTAAAGAATAAGTAAACTAGCGTGAAAATAAAAGCTTCCTTAAAGCTGCTGTAAAACTCTTAAAAATCCCAAAGAAATATTCACTGAAATATGTGACATTTACAGCAACCAATGCCTGTTTTATAGACAAATGAGCAGGTGGATTTCAATGATAAAAAAATATATAATGGGCATCAAAAATGGGTACCGTCCTTGCCAACAAAAAATTATAACAACTTATGTACTGTTTGCAAAATTTCAACAAAAAATATTTGATGATATATGATTGACTTTAAGACATATAGCAAATTTGATAGACATCATTTCGGGAGTAGTTAACACTGTTTTTAAGAAACGTTTGACGATAAAAAAAAAGCTTAATACTCAAAGGTCAACCTATATTTTGAAAATGAGTGAAAACGATAGCGTGTGCGAATGTCTTATCAATTGTTTTAAAATATCAGTTATTGTAGTTATCCACGTTTGTTTGATATTCAAACAGATAATGAAACTTGAATTTATTGCTTAAAACCCCCAAAACAAAATTTACCATAAGATGTACTTTAATGAAAACAGCGAAAGTCTGACAAGAGCAAAGAATTGCAAGAGCACAAAGACAGATTTATATGCAATTTTCTGAAGTATAAGTGGTATTGTTGTTCAAATTCGTATTCGGGGAGACAGTTTAATATCTGGAGGAGGCTAGAAAGTAAATTTTTTGCAAAAAAATCGAAAGGTTGACCCAGAACCAGGAATCCACTACTAGTACTTTAAATTTCTTCATGACAGCGTCCAAACCTGAAGAGTAAAGGGGTTTTCGGGATGAACAAAAAGTTAATGTTTTTTCACATTAACAATATTCGCCAGATCTTTGACCTTTTGACTTGTTTCTGTTTCCAAACTTGAGAAAAAAACACCTTTCAGAAGGAAGAAACAAGTCCAGGAAATCATTGAATCTGCCATTTTCCAGTATACTAAGGGTCATACCCAAAAATGAGTTCTAAAAACAATCAGAAATTGGATAAAAAAAAATGTTACGGACATGTGTTTTAATTAAAAGAGATTTTAAAGTTAAATCATGAAGAAAAAATCATTGAAAAGCGTCTTTTGCTTCTTTCCGAGCACCGAGGACATTATTTATTGAACAGCCCTCGTATTCCTTGTGAAAAGACCTTTCTTAGGGTATGACCTCCTTACCTTGACTTTGAATTTGACCCACTTTTAGCAAAAATTTTCAAACTCTAACCTTGTTCATAACTTTTTTGAACAGTTGGTGCTAGGGCTTTCATACTTCACATGTATATTTACTGTGACAAGACCTTTGAATTGGTATACATGTATATATTTTGACCTTTACCTTAGAGTTTGACCGACTTGTCACCACTTTTAAAAACAAGATGTGTTTGTGAAACACTGATACCCCCTGTATGGCAACATAGCGAAGATTAAGTTTTCTCGAATGCCAATCAAGCATGTTGATACCCAAAGTAAGGCCTTCTCACAAGAAATACAAATGTGAAAAATAAAACCCTAGCACCACCTGTTCAAAAGTTATTGCCAAGATTAACATTTTTAGCTCACCTCAACGAAGTTGGGGGAGCTTATGTAATACCCTCGGCGTCGGCGTCGGTGTCGGCGTCGGCGTCCCAGGTTAAGGCACAGGCACTTGAATTTTTATCAATAAGTTGCTAAATAGCCAAATATCGAAAAATTCTACCCCCTCTGTATATTTATATATAGAGGGGGTAGAATTTTTCGATATTTGGCTATTTAGCGACTTATTGATAAAAATCCAGGTGCCTGTGGTTAAGGTTAAGTTTTTTGGAGCAGTTTTCTTTTTAAGTACTTCTATGTCCTATATTGATTAGACATGCATGGAAGATGGTTCTAGTGTGTTTCATTGTACCAGTCAAAGTTTCCGATGCTGTTTTCAGCAAAGGAATGACCAGGTTAATGTTTTTGGATAAAGGTTATAATTTTTGGTGCAGTTTTTGGTGTAGATTTCATTTCCAAAAAACTATAAGCCCTATGTTGACCAAACTTGCATGGATGATACATCTAAGGATATATACCAGGCTTGCTTCGGATGCTGAATCTGACCTACATTTTCCGGTTGAGTGAACAGGTTAAGGTTTTTGGTGCAGGTTTCATTTCCAAGTAACTATAAGCCCTATGTTGACCAAACTTGCATGGATGATACATCTAAAGATGGATACTACTGGGCTTGCTTTGGATGCTGAATTTGACCTACATTTTCCAGTTGAGAGAACAGGTTAAAGTTTTTGGTGCAGGTTTCATTTCCAAGTAACTATAAGCCCTATGTTGACCAAACTTGCATGTATGATACATCTAAGGATGAATACAACCGGGCTTGCTTCGGATGCTGAATCTGACCTACATTTTCTGGTTGAGTGAACAGGTTAAAGCTTTTGGTGCAGGTTTCATTTGCAAGTAACTTTAAGCCCTAAGTTGACCAAACTTGCATGGATTATACATCTAAGGATGCACACTACTGGGCTTGCTTCGGATGCTGAATCTGACCTACATTTTCCGGTTGAGTGAACAGGTTAAGGTTTTTGGTGCAGGTTTCATTTCCAAGTAACTATAAGCCATATGTTGACCAAACTTGCATGGATGATACATCTAAAGATGGATACTACTGGGCTTGCTTTGGATGCTGAATCTGACCTACATTTTCCAGTTGAGAGAACAGGTTAAAGTTTTTGGTGCAGGTTTCATTTCCAAGTAACTATAGGCCCTATGTTGACCAAACTTGCATGGATGATACATCTAAAGATGGATACTACTGGGCTTGCTTCAGATGCTGAATCTGACCTACATTTTCCAGTTGAGTGAACAGGTTAAAGTTTTTGGTGCAGGTTTCATTTGCAAGTAAATAAGCCCTAAAACCAAACTTGCATTGATACAAAAGGATGCACACTATGTGTTCGGATGCTGAATCTGACCTACATTTTCTGGTTGAGTGAACAGGTTAAAGCTTTTGGTGCAGGTTTCATTTCCAAGTAACTATGAGTTCTTTAATGACCAATTTTGCATGGATGATACATCTAAGGATGCATACTTCTAGGCTTTCTTCGGATGCTGAATCTGACCTACTTTTTGTGGATGAGTGAAAATGTTAGTTTTTGATATATGTTTCATTTTCAATTAACTATGAGCCCTATAATGAGCAAACTTGCATGGACGATACATCTTAGGATGCACACTAATGGACTTGCTTCGGATGCTGAATTCGACATACATTTTTCAGATAATAGACCAGGTAAAAGTTATGGTTGCACGTCTATTAGCAAAAAACTATAAGGCTTATATAACATAGTATAAACCAAACTTGCACAAATGTTGCATCAAGAGATGAAAACTCTCAAATTTGCTTCAGATGCTGGATTTTGATTACTTTTTCATTAAGAAGAACTAGTTTAAATTTTTTTGTAGGTCTATTTTCAAAGTATCAGATCAAAATTGCTTAAATATTTTGCATTTTTGGTATGTACACTTTTTTGTTGGTTAATTCTGTGACTTTGCCTTACTTAAAGACAACATTCGTTAAGGTGAGCTCTGTAATCTCTGATTAACATTTTTTAAAGGTAGGAAAAACTCCGGGGTCAAGGTCAAGGATCAAAATTGTTGGTTTCTAAAGAAAGGTCTTGTCACAAAGATTTCATATGGTAAGTATGAAAGCCGTAGCTCTAACCATTAAAAAGTTTTCGCCAAGATTGAAGTTTTTAAAATGTAGGTCAAACTAAGGTCAAAAGGTCAAAATTTTTGATATCCAATGAAAGGTCTTGTCATAAGGATTACCATTCAAAATTTATGGCCAAGGTTAAAGCTTTTAAAAAGTAGGTCAATCTCCAAGGTCAAAAGGTAAAAGTTGTTGGTATCCAATGGAAGGCCTTGTCACAAAGAATACACATGTGAAGTATGAAAGTCTTAAAACCAACCATTCAAAAGTCATGGCCAAAGGAAAAGTTTAGAATTTTGGTGAAAAGTGTGTCAAACTCCAAGGTCAAGGTCAAGAGCTCAAATTTGGTGGAACCCGAAAAAGTTCTTGTCACTATGAATACACCTGTGACATATGAAAGCCATAGTCCCATCCAGTCAAAAGTTATGGGCAATTAGTACTAAGGCTTTTAAATTTCACACGTGTATTCCATGTGACAAGGCCTTTCAATCGGAGTAAATATTTTGACATTTTGATAGAGTTTGACCCACCTTTTGAAAAAAACCTTAACCTTGGCCATAACTTTTGAACGGTTAGTACTAGGGCTTTCACAGGTGTATTCTAAAACTGTGATAAGACATTTCTTTGGTTACCAACACTTTTGACCTTGACCTTGGAGTTTGACTGGCATTTGATTAACTTCAACCCTCACTGCCATACGGGGACATCAGTTTTTCACAAACACAACTTGTTTGTAAAAGGAATCAAAAGAAGCGTTATGATAAGTTCAAATTCCATGTCCAAATTGTTGGTACCCAAGGGATCGAAGGACTTGTTACAAGAAATACACATGTAAAAGATTAGCTCTAATCATTCAAAACTTACTAGTGTAAGCAAAATAAGTTCTTCAGTTGGAGGCCAAGATCAAAATCAAGGGAGATTTGTCATAAGAAATGAAACCCAAACACCAACCGTTCAAAGTTATATGCAAGGGTAAAGTTTGGTAAAATTTTGCAAAGGTGGGTTATACTCCAAGGTCAAGAGGTCAAATAAGTGGGTATCAAAAGAAAAATCTTCATAATTAAAGAATAAATTAAACGTGAAATATGAAAGAATTTACTCTTACTAACTTATCCAAAATTATGGGCAAAGTTAAAAGATTTTGCGGATAAACAGATAGTCGGACAATCAGGGCAAGAAACTATATGTCCCCAATTAACAACAGAACCTGCCCGTACAATAGATACGCAAACTGTAATATTTATCTAACAAATGTTCGTCAAAAAAAAACTTAAGGTATGTCGGTGACATAGATATCATTTCTTATCAAATGTACCCTGGCGTACTTAAACTTTTGCTGTCAGAGAAAAAGACTTTAACCTACTAAACTCAAAAAGAGTGATAAACAAATTTGGATAAATGCATGCAAGGATTATGGCATGTCAAACGTTGCAATATTCGATCTTTGCAATATTGCATTGTAAAATTTTCCGTATGTATTGTATGATTTTTTTTTAAGAATACAAATTAGGTATTCAATGTTTAACGAAGGGATTTCGAACAATCTTGAATTGATTTAAACTAGTTAAAAAGACATTGCCAGAAAACATTGAAAGTGAAATGAACCAAATTCACTTGACTGATAACAAATAAGAAGCTGATCATTTTGCACCTGAAAAGTTTTTAAAGAGTTATTTGCCCTTGATGAAAAATAGAAAATTTTAATTAGGGCTGGGTATTGGCCTGAGATTTCGTATTGCGATCTATTGCGATATTTTTAACTGTATTGCGATATGTATTGCAATATTTTCAATGTAATAAAAATGGCATTTTTTTTACTATATTTACTTTAATTTACATGCAGAATGTACATAACTATGATAAGTAACCAACACAGAAAAAAAATCTTGTTGAATTCATTTAAGTTATGCTCTGAAATGTTCCCAAAAACAACTTTTGACTTACTGTTTGGTTTAATAACAAACTTTTATAAATCCATTTTTATATTTAATGACAAAATTCCTTAATCTAAGCATATTGCCAATATATCGATATTACAAAATCGTATTGCGATACGATATTTTTTGTCATTGTATTGCAATATATTGAAATATCGATATTATTGCCCAGCCCTAATTTTAATATTGTCAAAATATCCGTGGTTAATGATTCATTTTATTTCATATTTCAGTAAAAAGAGAGTTTTTGCATATTCTTACCAAGAGATTTGTATGAAATTTACATTACTTTTTACAATATCTTAATAAGACATGTGCTGTTCATATACATCAATGTAAAATTCAAGGTACAGTTATTTAAACAATAATTAAAATTTTGTAAATCCTTTGTTGGAGTATGTTTATTTCATAACACCTTCAATACACTACCATGAATAATCATTTAAGCGGGAGTATTCGTTTGTTAGGTGCAAAGTAGGGTCGTTGACTCGTTATGCATTGAATACCTAAAAATTATACAATACAAATGAAATATTACACAATACAAAATGAAAAATTATAGAATACAAATAAAAATATGCAATACAAATGGAAAATTTTACAATGCAAATGAAAAATTATAGAATACAAATGGAAAAGATCGAATATTGCAACGTTTGACATGCCATAAGAGGATCTTCCGAAGTTATGTCACTATTGCGATGAAATAAAGAGAATACATTTATTTTAAATCCGATCGATTGAGTGAAGATTAACGGCATTTAATTAAGTCATAATGAGCATGTAGTAGGGTCCAATGCTACCTGGAGACAAATATGACAATATAATTTCCAAAAAGATGAAAAAAGGTGAAATATACAGTTATCAGTCTCATAAATCTTATGAGTATAAATGGCGAGCAGGGCAAAAACAAGAAACCCCGGAATCCCAATAGCAGCTGTCATATACATAGTATACCAACCAGGGGTTTAGTTGATCTGTCATGTTGTAACAATTTGCATGTACTGCCACCCGGTAAATTCAAAATTCACAACATGACAAAAGGATAGCCTTACAATGATGATGTGGATCAGTCAATCAAACCATGGCATGTTTTACAAAATGCAATTGCTTGAACCGGATTTTTTTTTAAATTTTTTTTTTTATTTTTATTATTATTATTATTTTTTTTTTGCACATAGTAGATTTCAGCCGATGCCTTAAAATGTGTATTTTTTGTTGTTATGGAATAATTTATTGTGAGATAGAGGGATAAGTAAAATCAATTCTTTTTGATCATTTATCAACCCCATTTTGACCATCACGGTGACTTGGAGGGGTGGGCTTATTCACTATCTCGATCTCCCTTATTTCAGAGCACATGTTCGTTATCACTCGGAACCACGTCAATATACTCCTATATATAGACATGTAATCAGTCGAATTGTTTTAATTTTCGTAATCATTGAGGATTATTAGTTAGATGAAATGGACAAGCACTTTCCAAGTAAGTATAGTTATCATTGTCTTTGTCATGGCAAAAAAAAAAAAAAAACCCACTAGATTCTCACAAACAACGGGTTCAAATGACTAATTTAAGGTGAGCCTGAAATTTTCAAAACAAATTTCTTTCATGTGACATAAGAGCTAAATATCTTGCCTTAGAATGAACGAAAACATACTTTAAAAATGTATACATGAGTATTATATATAGCTTTATTTTTGTAGAAAAGGTCCGCTTTTTCGGTGGTGGTAATGTTGAAATCTATTCCTACTTACTTTATTATGATTATTATTATAGCTTAGGATCATTTTGAATAAAATTAAACGTTGGGAGGAATATATGTCACGATTCCTCCGCTAGATCAATTCAAAGTACTTGTGGGTATTTTCTTTTTTACTGAATATGAATAAAAATTTGAAAAAGTACTGATGGGGGGATACTTGCAGAACTTGTTACTTGATATGCATAAAGAAACGAAAATTTAAGGTGAAAACATAAAAATCTTTTATTTGTCCATATCATAAAAAGAAAGAAAGAAAGAAAAGAAGAAACCGTGACCACATGCATTTTCCAGACAAAGTAAATAAACATTTTTGGCCTTATCTAACCCCCTAAGGTCACGTGGTCATTTGCATGAGTGAAGATACTCAGTATCATGAATCCAGTATTCTACACCCCTTGATAATACATTTTAAAAAAATTAAAAATCGTTTCAAAAATTTTTATTTAAATTTTGTACCGTATTATTTGAAACACAAACAGAGAAGGAAAAGAAGAAATAAATAAAATAATTATATATAAACTAAATAAACAAAAAAATGTTGTATAGATAAATAAATGAAATAAATAAAACGTTTTCAAAAAATATATTGAATTAGTAATACATGTGTAATACACGGACCCCCAAAACACCAGAGGTGGGATCAGGTCCCCTAGAGGAGCAAGCATCTTCTGTCAGCCAGTAACATAGGGTCTATATTGATAGGCTATGTTAGTAAACAACATCATCACAACCATAAGAATTTTCAAAACGCTAAACGAGTTTGTTGAAAGCCCTGCAAATCAATTAACTCATTTGTCAGAAGCATGCGTCGGTTTAGAGACTGGTCAAAATTGTTGGTATCAAAAGAAAGGTCTCATCACAAGGAATACACTTGTGAAATATTAAAGCTATAGCATGATCACAATAAATACCCATGTGAAGTGTGAAAGCCCTAGCACCAACTGTTCAAAACTAATGGCAAAGGTTTGTTTTTTTTAAATAAAAGTGGGTCTTACTCCAAGGTCAAGGCCAAGAGGTCAAATTTGATGATAGCCTAAGAAAGTTATTGTCACAAGGAATACACATGTGGAATATGAAAGTCTTAGCCCCATCCATTCAACTTTTTGGGGAAAGGTTAAAGTGTTTGCGGGCAGATAGACAGACGGACAAGGCAAAAACTATATACCCACGAAACTTTGATTACGGACGCATAAAAGATTGCAGTATATACCTGGGTAATTGGGGCAGGTCTTCCTTCTTAACGTAACTAGGCGTCGGAAGCAAATTGAAAGTGGGGGGGGGGGGCTAATTGAAAGGGGGGGGGGGCTTAACCAACAATAAAATGGTAAACCCCGATTTTCAATGCCTATGTTATGTATATCTTTGCAAAAAAGTGTGCGGGGGGGGGGGTTATGCGTAAACATAATATATCTATTCAATTAAAGTGATTTATTATACCCCCCGCTTGAAAAGCGGGAGGGTATATAGTAATCGGTATTTCCGTCCGTCTGTACGTCCGTCCGTCCGTCTGTTACGCTTTGGGGTACCCATCTCTTATCCGCAACTCCTCTCATACCACTGAAGGAAATTTAATGAAACTTTCACAGAATCTTCATTACATATTGCCATTGTGCACCTCCTAATTTACTTTTTTGATCTGACATATATTTTGGATTTTCCAGAGCAAAACATGGACACTGCCATTATATTCACATTGGAGGCGGGGGGTATCATTTAGTGAGCTCATTGCTCACAGTACCTCTAGTTTTTAGTATTTTTTTTATCTTCTGTGTCGGCAACTGTTGATATTAAGTTTTTATTCTAAAATTAGGTGACCGGTTAAACGGATCCAGATACCTTCGGATCAGCTTTATCTGAAAAAGTAAATAGATCACATTTGAAGATGACCGAAGCGCACTTAACTGTAGTCACGAAGTTAATCTTCATGTATACAAAATCACAAATAAATACTTGATTTATTGATACGTTCAAGAATTGATTAAAACAGATAAGAATATCGAAAAAGTTTAATTTGGAACAGGTAAATAAATACATGGTGTTATCTAAAAAACAATAATCCAGTTGTGTATGAACCATATTCTCTTTGTCCATTACTTACAAAACATGTCACAAATCATGCAGGACCAGTGAAATTTAATAAAAACAGACATCATAGCGTCCCCTGGAACAATAAAATGGGCAATATGATTTTATATATATCATTCCAAAGTTTGATCTAGAATCAAAATGACAATAGCATGAAATTTTATTTGGCAAGTGTCGATTAGCTAGCTATTATTCAAGATTGTAAAAAAAACAACAAAATAATAATGCTAAACGATTCCAAGGGGGTTAGGGGCTACAACAGATTTTCAAATATCTGACTAATCAATATGTAAACAATAAACAATAGAATATTTGTTTGTAAGTTCAAGAAAGTTAAAAAAAAATCACTGTTTTCGAACCTTAAATGCTGCTTTGATACGGCTCGAATCCAGCGACAAACCAATGTAGCTTTCGCGGGAAACTATACATAACTACTATTTAAATCATTATTCAAAGCCAAGGCCCTATTCAATTACACTGCCAATTTTCTACCAGAAAATAAATGGAAAAGTGTAAATTTTGGTATTTCTGTGTCGTCTCTCCATGTTTAAACAACTGGAATGAAGTTTACGGTTAAAAATACACTGATAACGCATTTAAAATTCATGGAGAGAAGACCCAGAAACTGCTCAAGTGAGCTTTTCTGATCAAAATGTGTCCGTTGTCTGTCGTCGTTGTCGTCGTCGTTGTAGTTGTGAACTTTTCACATTTTCATCTTCTTCTCAAGAAGCACTGGGCCAAATTTAACCAAACTTGCCACAAAGTATCCTTGGCTAAAGGGGATTCAAGGTTGTTCGAATGAAAGGCCAAGCCCTCTTCCAAGGGGAGATAATAATGTTATAATACATATAGTTTTATTTTGTATAAGCAGAGGCCTTCTATACTTTATTATCTGAATGTGAATTGTAAATAACATTAGTGACACTCATTCTTTCATGCATTCTTGTTTATATGTAGAAATCTTGTATTATTTGCATTCATATACCCCAGTTGGGGTCTTTGTCTTAAATAAAAACTTGAAACTTGAAACTTTTAAAAATCTTCTTCTCTAGAACCATTGGGCCAGGAAAGATGAAACTCATGTGGAAGAATCCTGAGGTAGTGTAGAGTCAAATTTGTTAAAATCATGCATGACCCCCGGGGGTAGGGCGGGGCCATAATGGCTGATCCAAGCTTTACATAGGAATTATATTGGAAAAATCTTTTAAAAATCTTTTTCTCCAGAACCATTGGGCCAGGAAAGATGAAACTCATGTGTAAGCATCCTGTGCATGGTAGTGTACAGCTCAACGCACTTTTTAAGCTCACATGGTTTTTCACACAAATGAAGATCACATTTTTATAACACAATATTGTGTATTGAGGCAACAAAATATACTTTAAAAGTGATTGTTTACATTATTCAAATTTCATTTCACTTATTAAAAACATAATTCACACCTCATAACTGGTAGGACTTTTATATATTCTTAGTTGATAAATTACAACTATTCCCAAATGATTGTTTAACGTTTCTTTCCAATTGCAGCCGTCGTATTATCCGTTTTTGTGAAAGCAGTAGCTTTTTGCAGAAAATTAGGCATAGGCACAATATTGTTCCCGTTACATGTATTTTTCTGTACATTCTGACACTATAGCACACGATGATAACAGTATTTCCCATCTGTTTGACTGCTTTCTATGTAAAAAAGCAGACATTTTTCAGAGTTATTTTCTAAACTCTAGAATCATGAAAGATCCATCCCACTGCAAAATTTCAAAGTTTCAAACCGTAAATGTAAAAGAGTTTCCCTTTCAATAGAAAGAAATTGCTATTTAAAAAGATAAACAATACTTCATTATTCTACTTATTGGCATGTTTTCTTTCTGCAGTGTTGTCCATTTTCGCAGGTACATTTCGGCAAAACCAAGATGAGCATGGTAAATGTACAAAAATATTTAGAAAAATACTCACTTTAAGAAGCGTATCTAAAAAAGATTCAATTAAATGCTTTCAAAGAAAGCTCGTTTTATTCAACTTGTATATACCTATGGTAGATTCATATAGTTGTCACATCGTATCATTTACTGACACATTACCCTTTAAAACAGGCACGTTTGAAACTAAAGATAATAATATGTTTAAGGACATTTATCCTTGACATTATATATAATACAATTCAGAGTTATGTCGCCGAACTGAATTTCGATAATGTTGGTTTTAAAACAAGAGGAATGTGACCTTAATTTGTGTGAAAAACGATGTGAGCTTAAAAAGTGCGTTGAGCTGTAGATTCAAGTTTATTCAAATCATGACCCCCGGGGGTAGGGCGGGGCCACAATGGCTGATCAAAGTTTAACATAGGAATATATAGGAAAAATCTTTTTAAAATCTTCTTCTCCACAACCATTGAGCCAGGAAAGATGAAACTCATTTGGAAGCATCCTCAGGTAGTGTACATTAAAATTTGTTCAAACCATGACCCCCGGGGGCAAGGTGGGGCCACGATGGCTGATCAAAGTTTTACATAAAGATAAGTAGGAAAAACCTTTTAAGAATCTTCTTCAGAACCATTGGGCCAGGAAAGATTAAACGCATGTGGAAGCATCCTCAGGTAATGTAGATTCAAGTTTGTTCAAATCATGACCCCCGGGG